GCTGAGGAAAGTAAGTAAGTCAACTTAAGTAGGTCAGTACATGCAGCTTTTGTAATTTTTGGAAGTTGAAGACACGGGGCCCCAGGGTCTTGGTCTTCCTTGGCAACTTTTTTGAGGTCCACCCAACCACCTGCAGAGACAAGTTCAGAGATCTCTGCAAAGGCCGACCTGGGGTGTCACGAATAAGCAGTGAAGATCTGTGAAGATCTGTGAATGTGGTGTTTCATGCTTCTACATAAGGTACGTAACCTGCTATTTGTTGGAGACTGACTATGCATGACTATGCGAGAGTGACTATGGATCACCGGCAGCAACAAGGGGCAGCTGGCAGAGGTCCATGATCGATTTTGATTGGAATCCGTCTGCAGGTACACGGAAGGTGGGCGCGTTTTCCGCCACAGAGGACGGAACTCTTGTGGAAAAGAGCAGCATCGTTTGGTGTCACCCATTTTTTTTCAGTATCATCCACGAGTTCTCATCTATTTTTCCTTATCCTCCGGTAAAGTAGCACGGCAACGACAGTGACACTTCTTCATTTGTAGATCAATGTGTTCTTGTCAACAGCAGCGATTTCGACTGCGGGCAGTTAGAGTATATAAACATGGAATCCATTGAATCCATCATCTCCAAAGATCCCCAAGCACAATAGATCCAGCAAGCTATGACGGTTTCCAGGACCTGATCTTACGCATGGCCATTTGTGAAACCACCAACAGTGCAGGGCTTGGGCTGCTCACCAAAGCGATCACATTGCAGTTGCTTTTTTGACGCCCAAGGAGCAGCGAACAAATTTTAGATCACAGGATATACAATGATATATATATATACACATAGATATACATAGTATAGAAATTTCTTGTGATCAGATTTATATACATGCATGCATGCATACCTACCTACGTACAGACAGCCAGCCAGACGAGACCAGATCAGATCAGACCAGACATACTGGAGCTGTAGAAATGTGTTTGGTGATGACTGTACCTGAGGTTTGCTGCCAGTGTCAGACATTCCTTGGAGTGAGGCGATGGGCCCCGATGGGCCCCGATGGGCCCCGATGGGCCGGTGCCACTTTGAACGTCTATGGATGCAGTCTTTCAACGTCTGGGCAGTAATATGGGTGTGTTTGAAAATGGTGTATAGCCCCCAAAATTGCTATTTTGATCTATTTTTATTGGCAAAATGATGAGAATCCATAATCCTTTGGACTTGCTGATACCGGATACCCTATTTTCAGACAACCCCGTATTAGAGTCAAGACAATACAACGCAGGATTTTCTTGGTTGTACTTGAATGACGTGCTGGTGCTTGCAGCAATCAAGCCGCCAACAAAGCAATCATGAGCCCAGATATGATGGCCGGTGATGGTCATCTAGTAGCATAATTCTTTCATGTTAGCACTTCTAGCTGATCGCAGCCGCAGATCCAGAAATGGTTACCCAACAGAGGTTGGAGATCGTCAGAAGCTCAAATCTGAGAGCCTGGCACATGAGGGGCCGAATTGCCCATATATCATGTATTGCCCACATCATATTTGGGACATGGATGGCCAAGGCTCATGCAGAGGTGGTACATTCACCTCCTGCCACAGCTCACTGCATATGAGGAGCAAGCCAGACGTTTCTGGCATTTTGGTCGACCCATGGGGTCCTTTGGTGCAGACACTTGAACTGCACCGAAGAACGCAGTGGCGAACGCCATATGAGAAACAGGCTAAAAAGGTTTGGTCCCACTGTAGCAAGGGTCTGCACATGGAAAGTGTTTCCTGGACAAATCCGATCCTGAATCCCCAAAAACCACATTCTCCAATCTCCAACGGGACTTGAATATCAACAAGCTTTTACACACGATGGGCTGGTTGTACCTGGATGGTCATTCCAGTTCGCACCTGAAGACAATGACCATGACGTTCTAACCCTCAAACCGTCAGACAAATCAGGCTGGCATATCAAAGCACTCGTTGCTGTCTATCGTTTCGTTTTTGCTCCAGGACAAATATGGTGTCCCCATTGAGCCAGAGGTCTTTGTTCGCCATATGTTGCCCGCGACCGAGAAGTGACCGAAATGCAGCGCTAGACTCGCAGATTATCATCCCTTCTTTTGATTCCGATGCTTCCGAACCTCCAGACTGAAGTTCCTGGTTCCACATTGTCGTGCTGACACTTGGCTCCATGTCCGAGGCGGAGGCTCAAAAAGAGCAGTGCCACAAATCCCAAGGCCAGTGGTTCCCAGTGGTTCCCAGTTGCCTGGCGGTGACCTCCTTAGTTCCTGGGCCAAGGCACTGGCATGGGCTCACGTGTTGGGCTCAGATTTTTTCGTGACATGTCACGTATGGGAACTAAGCCTCGCGCACATCGGCCAGAGGAATGTCTTGATGCATTGATGCATCGAAGTGGAAGACATTATCGCAGCTGGTAACAACTACAATATTACAACTACATGTTTTCTTCCAACTACACCTTTCTGTATTTTTGCTGGTAGTTTTTTTTCCTTCTGGTGTATATATACATATATAATTATATAGTTATATAAAAGTTATATATATATATACGTGTGTATATATATATGACCTTCGTGTGCCACAGCTGCGGGGGCCTATGGCAAGGTCAATACCTGGTGGTCTGCAGACATGAACCGTCGAAAGTGGCGAGCCCTTTCGTCTCGGGTCACCTGGCACAGCCCATGGGGGGGCGTCGCAAAGCGGTGTGAAACATATCATCCAGTAGAGGATATAATATAAAGGATTAGAGGATAGATATATCCTCTATATCCTCTATTTTTGATGGATATTTAGAGGATCTACTAGCTGTTGAATAGAGGATATAGAGGATTCTTGATTCTTGATGGACGTATCGAAAAAGAATAGATCCCAATCACTTGGAGTCTGCCAGGTCCCAGTTGAGTTGATGGATGCTTCCTTTCGGGAACGTGTCGGGTACTGGTACCAGGTTCGATGCTCAGTCTACAGTTAATACAGTTGATCTGAGTCCAAATTTGCAATTGTTGACATGACTCACATGTGGTATTTGTAGCCAGCACCTGGCTCCAAGTCCCTGAACTTCCACAAATGGCCCAGCAGTTTTTGCACATCTGCTGGAGGCCTTGCGTTGCAGAGAACACAAAAAGCGGGACAAGAAGATGCACGGTGACCCACAGTGACCCACGGTGACCCATGGTGACCCATGGTGACCCATGGTGACAAAGGGGTTGAAACTTTCTGGATGGGTCAAGTCATAGGTAAAGTCATGGGTCACCCCAAAAAGGGAAGGCCATCCCTCGAAAATTCAATACACCCCAAACAAAACCCTGGTTTAGTATTGTACCATATTGTACCTATTATTTTTGTTTCATTTTGGGGACTCGCATTGGGGTATTTTTGTTGGGAAAGGATTATATAGGTACTGTCAATGACCTGAAGATCTGTGGAAATCTATGGTCCCCCATCCCCATAGGCGGAGCCGGTGAGCTGAGGTTGAAATGTGCTCTTTCCACAGTTGAGCGCAAGGCCTAAAGTTTCTGTGATCAGAAAGCATGATGCCTGTGAGGGATATAGAGCAACAACAAGCTCCAGAAGTTTTTTTTTCCAAGAGGTAATCAGCTTATTTTGGTTCCCAATAATGAACCACACTTGCTAGGCTTCATTTTTTTTTTGTGTAAATAACCAGGACCAGGAGCGCAACTCGAAACTCGTCTATTCAGGCGCAGGAACAAGATCACGAAGGCGCCTGGGGCAGCTCATTGAGCCAGTGGCAGAGTCGTGACACAAAGCATGGATTGTCGATGGTCTGGGTATGTCGTCAAGATCTCCCAAGGGCGATCACGTATGACAAATCATCCAACATGGATGGCCTACCTGGGCCTTGACTTCATGAGAACAAGCACCGTGCGGGTCGTGCTATTGTAAGGACATCACGAAGCTGTGGCTCCCTTGAATCAAGGTATTCAGAAGGCCGCGCTGCACATTTGGCCCGAGGGAGCTAAGGAGGCAATATCCTGTATATTTTCAACAAAGAGGGAACAAAGGAGCATATGTTTCATTGGCTTCCAATGTTTCATGATGTTTCATGTGTTTTGTTGTATAATATGGCGCAGAGTGTGAGATTCTTGGGTTCTAATCTCAATGTAGTGACATCCTTTGAGTACCACTTGGACTCGTTTCTTTATCCTGGCTTTAGTGTCACTTTGAATCTACACCCTTTGTTGATTTAAGGTAGCAATGGAATGTCCTCCGTTTGGACAATTCCACTTGGTGAGTTTTCTGAGGCCAGGTCAGGTTGAAGAAATACACGCATTCAATGTTCCTACTTGAAGTTCCTATTCCAACATTAGATTACCAGAAGGTATCTCCAATACTTGGGTATGGAGCACTTCACCATGAAACATCATTCTGCATTCCATAAATTCGTTCCCGATTCGTTACCTATAAACAAGTCCAATAAACGTCGGCATCCAAGACTGGAGTTCACCAAATTTACCACCCCCCAACTAATATAGCATGTCCGAAATAGGGGCTTGGAAGACTGCTTTCCGCAAGAAATGATTGATTTTCAGGGTCTATGTTAGTTGGATGCATCCGGGGAAAAACATCAAGTAACCATGTCCAAAACATCCAACATGGACCCGTGGCGGACAATTTTTCTTACTACTCTTAATGGACATGGCCAAAGTGGGTGGTCCCCTATCGGTTGTGAAGGTTTTAACACAACTTTGAACATCGCAAGTCCACTCCCTACTACCTTACAATGTGGGGCCGCCCAGTTATAAGTTGGTTTATAAACCCCTAGACTATAGTTATAGGTATCATAAACCATAGTTATTGAAGTTATAAGCCAACTTAGCTACCTAGGGGGCCCCACATTGTAGTCTTTAGCTAATTTTGTCGGTTACTCAGTCGACGCCGCGTCACCCAGGGAGAAGGCGTTCTGCTCTTTCGTTCCCTGATGAGCAATTGAGGGGATGCTGCTGGTTTGTGACTGTATGACCACACTATGTCATATATAATCATATATCTAAGGTGTATGTATATATATATATATATATGTACACATGTATGGATAAATATGTATATATATACATGTATATATACATGTATGTATGTATGTATGTAATGTAATGTAATGTAATGTAATGTAATGTAATGTAATGTAATGTAATGTAAGGTAAGTATGTATGTATGTATGTATGTATGTATGTATGTATGTATGTATGTATGTATGTATGTATGTATGTATGTATGTACAACAAGGGCCCTCACTGACGACAGCTAGTTTGCAACCGTCTGGCGACCCCTTTTTTTGGAACCGGCCGTGGCCTCAGTCTTGTCTGTATAAGGGCTGGCTACACTGAATGAGAATCGCATTCCCTTCTAGCCATTCCCGATCTTCTGCAGCGAGCTGCTCCAGTTCGGTGGTCCAGACATTGGATGTGACAATGAGAGCGACATTCCAAACCCAGATGCGATAAACATACATGCCTGTCGCCGAGTGCCCAAGTGAAATTTCGGCAGGCGGCGCCTGAAACAATTTTTTGTGCTTCAAGACAAGATGGACACTAGCTTCATCAAACACCACACACCGGTGCCCTAGCACATCATATTCCCTCATGTCGGGCTCCAACACCCCGGAACAATTGGTTTCATACGTGTGATCTGCGCCAAAGAGAGACCGTGCATAGACAGTCTTCCCCAGGCGCGTTGGGCCATTCAGCACCAAGAATTTTCGGCGATGCATAGGCCGCGTGAACTGTGGCAAGAACAGCTGCGTCACTTCTGGTAGTTCCACTGGCTCTTTCTGCAGTGGGCGCAAGAGCTCTGCTGCAGCAGCCTGCTGCTGCTGAATGTACAGCTCCCGTTGTTTCTGGCCATGGTACTTCAGGTTCTCACAGTAAGCACGAATGTTGCGCTTGCATTGGACGTAGTGCTGCTCGGCACACTCCTTGTTAATCTTATCCCCCTGCCAAAGTCCAGTCACCCAGTCGGGGCTCACTGTGAAAGTCTGGCAAGTGGTCTGGCGAAAAATGGACCCTTTCTTCTCCACTTGGAGATAAAAGTGCCCTTGATCCAGTGCACGACGGACTGACCGCCCACGAGCCTGCGAGGAATCCAAGGAGATGTGCGGCTTGCACCCACGAAATGCCAAACTTTGTCCAGACAGATGCACTTGTCGCCCTGGCCGCAGCATGCGGGTGCATGGGCCAGGAAGGTACGGTGCTAGAGCCTATCTGGTTCTGTTAGCCATCAGAACCAAACATGAAACAGGACCGAAAAGTATGGGGAAGGTGCGTCCTCACATTGGGCTGCGAAAAAGAATGACTGGCACTGGGAATGAAAGATAAAATGACATGATTCAGGCTTGCGAGAGAGGTGCCCGCATTGCTGCCGAGTCGCGGGTGTCAAACATCATGTGCAAGTGAATGGAAGGCACTCTGCGTTGCAGCGTCACCTCTGTGTGGAGCTCCAGGGCGGTGCTGACCCGTTCAAAGCGGTACTTGTTGCTGAGCTCGGTCATCCAACTTTGAAAGTCATCCCAAATGGCAAGCACCTGCGGTGCGTTTCGTAGGCCGGCACTGAGCAGATCAATGTCGACAGATGGTCCTGCCGCAAGCAGGTCCAAGGAAGGTTGATGCTCAATCATGCTAAAGGAGCCACTGTATCGGAACATAGTACCAGTGCCCTTGTATGCTTGCGGCGATGGCTCGTTGACAATCGGCTCTTCGACATGCCACCCTGCCAGTAGGTCACGTGCAGCACGTGCAAACTTCACAGGAATTTGCGGCAACATGTCGCGCAAAATCTGCGGCCTGTCGGCTTGTGCAAATGAAGCTCTCCACCGCTGCCGCTTGGCGTGTCCGTGCTCATTCCGAGTGGCCATTCGCTGCGCAGCCCATTTGTCGCGCAGCCATATCAGCAGCTGCTTGCGTGCCTCCCGGTCAGGGGGGCCGTCTGGCGGCGGCTGCTTACCACAGAGTCGCCGTCGGACAGGCATGGCGGCACTGTGGCTCAATGATCATGTTCTTGTTTTGCTGCGTGACATGAAGGGGCCCTCATGGGAAGTTAATACCCTGGCAGCTAAGCAGTCGATGACAAAGCGACCGTACAATGAACAGCATGCAATGCCTCACCATGCTCTGTCTGGATGTGGGCACGGCGGCGGCACCCAAACAGCAGACCAAGCCTGCTCGCAGGCATGAGGACAAGCAAGCTTCACATAGAGGAGCAGGAGATAGACGCGTCAGTTCTGGACATTGATGAGTTCAAATTGGTTATAAATGGGAGTCTATAAGGTCGAAATGGGGTTATGACTACTTATAACTGGTCAATGGCCATAACTGGTCTAATAGCAGAGCGGGCCAAAGAAAAGACTACAAGGCAAACAAGTGTGGGCAGCGGCTCAGCAGCTTTGTTTTCGTCAAGTACGCACGGACTTTCCGCGCCACTCGAGACTGTTGTCCCAGCGCTTGCATGGCTGAAAAACCTTGGCAGGAGCATGGAGAGGACCAAGCGACGGGTATGGACTGCGACAAAACCCAGACGACAGCACGGACAGGATCGGTCGGAGGACCGCGGAGGACCAAGCAACGGGAAAAACTATGGAAAAACGGGGGCAAAAATGGCGGTCCTCCAAATCCGCCTCTGGGAGAATAGAATTATTTGTAGCTACAAGCGAGGTTGGAGGACCATGTTGAAGCATGTTGTTCTGTGTCGCCACCATTCTAAAGGTGTCCCTTCCCACAGGCATGGTGCTTTTCTTCCTCCTCTGGGTCTACAGACCTATACATACATATCTATATCTACGATTATCTACGTAGATATATCTCTTCATCGACATATATATATATATACATACCTTTCTCTCCATGTCTTTCTCTATCTCTCTATCGCTCTTTTATTCTCGATCTACATATATCTCCATATACATGTCTATCGCTATCTAGAATCGGTACTAGAATGAAATACTCTAACGACTGGAAAGCGGGATCTTGAGCACTTTCATGCTGACAGCTTTGAACCAGGTAAAACCAAAAGACTGATCTTTATGTGCACATCTCCTGTTTTTTTTCAAAATGCAGCATGGCATTGAATGCTTGAAAGTCCCAACGCGAAGCATTGGCTTTTCGAACCGGATCACGAACAGTCCCGATCACCGACTTGCATCTCGAACATTCTTTTCCTTTCGAACCGGATCACGAACAGTCCCGATCACCGACTTGCATCTCGAACATTCTTTTCCTTTCGACCCGGATCACGAACATTCCCGATCACCGACTTTCATCTCGACCATTGTATTGAAAAGTGAAACGAACGCATTGGGATGAGGAAGCGACCAGTTTCATATCAGCCACCTCCTAAAAAACTAGTCTTGTACGCATTTTATTTCGAGGTCTCTATTCTCCAAAGCACATGTCTATCTAGATCGATATAAGGCTTTCTGGGGTATGTTCCGACTTGTCTTTTGTAAAGAATCCACCTTGAAGTCGTTTCAAAGTTCTTCAAACCTAAAGTTTTGCGTTTGGCAAAGCTCAGCTGTGTCTCATAGATTTTCTGTCCGCGTCTCCTAGATTTTATTCCAGTCATTATCCCCATTGGTGGTTTTGGATGGATAGGGCAATTCAGGCATCAACATTCCTTGAATTGGGCAATCCATCCTTTAGGGGGTCATTACACTCCCAAAAATTAGCATAACCCCAAAAATAGTGTCGCGGATGAGATAGGGAGGTTCCCGGTTCAACCAACCCTTATATAATATCCAGCAACCAAGCTATCTAATCCGCTGGGGGGGTTCCTACACCGATTTAATCAAATGGGGGTGTGCTTCGAAGTTGCTACGCACGGAGCGGTTCGCTCCCCCCAATTGACCAAATCAGTTCCTAATTATATAATATTCTCTTATATTAATATATGTATATACAAATATATGTACGTACGTATCTATCATCCCATATCATCTTTGACATTTGCTGTCATGAAACATTGCAATCCCAATAGTTCACTCACCTGCATGGTTTGGCCATTTGGGGATGATTGAGGTCGTTATCATTTACCCTTTTCCGACAATCTACTAATTCATGCAAGCACCCTCATTTTGCGGATGCTAGGCCTGGGAACTGGGTGTCATGCTGGTTGGTTACCCATCAAAAGTGGTGGTCGAACCGGGGAAGATTGATAGACCTCAACAGCGTTTTACCGTCTGGTAAATTAACATAGACCGTGGGAGATAGGGATGGAAGACTAGTTGCCATTAAACCTTGGTGATTTTAAGGGTCTATGTTAATTTACCAGTGGGTAAATCACTTTAACCATATAGGGATTCGCCAGTCATTTTTTATGGTGGTGCACCGCGGTTGACCATTGGGGATTTATCAAACGATGGGCTTATATCATTGATTGAGCCTTATGGGTAACTGGCGAGAAATCACCATCAAACATGGGAATTTAACATGAACCAAGAAACCAAGGGTACAATTGCTAGATGTAGAGTCACTTCCCCCCTGGACAGGCAGCTGCACCATGTGCCCAGATGCAATGTGGCACAGCACCAGCCGCCAGCACCAGGCGCAAAGGCCCCAGAACGGCAGCAGCATCGCCAGGTCGTGCACGCACCAGGCGCAACGGCCGCAGCGCACCAGCATCCATCGCTGCCGCCGCAGCAAGAGAATGTTAAATCACTGACAGGATACGGCGTGTGCTATGTGTCACACAGTGGTGCGTCAATCAAGCAGGCCTCTGAATCCAATGAATGAATCTGAATAATCACTCCTACAGCCACTATGCAAAGCAATCGTCTGACTCCACTGACTGAATCGCTCTCACTTTCCACAGCCAACATGCAACATGAGTGGCCGGCTGCGATTGTTTTCAGACACCTTTGGCGTCAGGTTGTTAATCAGACATAGGTGCACACTTCGTGTGCAAACTTGCAACTTCCTCACGCGTGTGCGTGCCATTGTAACACATGCAGGACGACATTGGCGCCCTTCACGGGCAAATACCAACACAGAGTCTCCTGCATAGCTCTGCACTTGTCAGAGACATGCCCATGCAGACAAACTGCAAACATCAGGGACGCCCATTGGCAACCTTGACCGCCAACAGCCACGACAAATCTGCCGTGCTCAGTTTCCCAGCTTGCTGCATGATGCGACGGCGTTTTTTCTCCTGCGCCCGGCACAGACAATTTGCTGCAAACAAGCTAGCATTGATCAAGACAGGACATTATACCATGTCTGATGGCCACCAGTCTATGTCCTGGCTCTTCACCTCTCGGGTTGCTTGCGCCAACTGCCGCTTCAGTGCCTGTCGCGCTGCTTTCAAATCTGCCAAACGGTCTGCCGGCGGCGCAACGGCCGCAACATCAGCAGGTGCTGCTTCTGACGACATGGCTTCGCAGCAAGTGCGTCAAGGTGAGGGTCACCCAGGGCAAGTTCCTTCTGGCCAAAAGCTTGCAGAGTCTTCTGACAGTTGCTTCAGGGTTGCACGCTGCAAGCACATGCTTGCAAAGAGATGACACTAACACTAGCCTACACGGGGAACCCAAAAATGGGGGCTGGGATTATGCATAGAACTCGGCTTCCACAAGCTGGACCCTAATAGTCTCACAACATTTTCACTTGTACGCAGGCAAGTCAAAACAAGGCTTTGTAAGCATACACCATACGGCGTCGCTCTGGCCACAAACATTGCACTTCCTCTCGGGTTGGTTTGACCCCTTCGGGGAAACTCACCGGAAAATCCATCAACTCCCGCAGCTCCCGATGGAGTACTTGCGGATCAGGCGGATTGGTGCATCCGACCGCTGCGAAGCTACTGCGCCATGCCTTCTGCGCGAAAAATTCACGCGGGCATTGCATCAGCTCCCAAATCCATGCCAGGGGATTCACCAAACCATGCTGGGAAGTTGCTTTCAGACCTTCGTGCCTTGCCCGCAAAAAGGCTTTGAAGCCAGCAAATGCACAAATGTCCAGCGGCTGCAGCACATCAGTGCATTGCGCCGGTATGTAAACCAGCTGCACCTTCTGCCTCTTTGCCGCTTGCATGACCTCCTTTGGCAAGTGGCTAGGCGCACAGTCCAGCAACAAGATACCTTGTTTGCCTGGATACAGCTTCAGCACCTCACCAATGTCTCGCAAGAGTTGCACCATGTTCGCAGCAGAAGTCCATGCAGACTTTTGCGCAATGATCTTCAATCGGGTTGGTGGCAAGGCTTTCTGTGCCCGCAGCAACTTGCACGTCAGCCTCGTCTTGGAACCTATCAGGTAATGTGGTAACTTCCCTTGGACATCTGTAGCATTGCAAATGAGGCTGAGGTATGTCCAAGCTCCTCTCCGATCCTGCTTCGACACTTTCGCGACCGCAGGAGCCACCACATTGCCAAGCCGCGGCTTCATGGTATACCCTATGCTCGTCTCATCAACATTCAACATGAGAATGTCTCGGTCGGCAAACTTCTGGTATAGATAGCGCAGATGCCGCCAAAAAGCATTGACCTTGCAGGACAAAGCATGCGGTGTGGAAACAACACCGACGCATCCAAAAGGGTGCAGCAATAGAGGGCGAGAAAACAAACCCGAAAACTGGGACCAGAAATGGGGCCCTTAAGGCTAATCCTGTGCATGCAAACAATATACGGCAACGTACTCGGACCCTTTTTTGGGTCCGGAATCTGGACCCAAAAAGGGGGCCAAAATACTGCAGCAGTTTCCTCCCGTCCAAGGGACTTTCGCTTTTAAAACTGCCGGGTCCTTGTGCACCACCTGTTTCAACACTTTGCGGCGGACACCCCAACGCGCACGCCACTTCTGCGCCCACTTGTTCACGTAGCGTCCCGGAGGGACACCCACGTCGAGCTGATGGCCGATAAAGGCATGCTCCCAGTGCAAGAAGACGTCCATCGAGGAAGGGGCCACACCATGCAAGACATTGCAATCACGCACCCAATCCGAAGTTGCGGCCTCTGCCAAAAAGGCGTGTGCCCTCTGCGCTGCTAGCTCGCCGAATTCCAGCCAGTCTGTTGGCGGGGATTCCAAAAAAAGCTCTTCTAGGGCTGCAGCTGTTGGGAACCCAGCATCCTCAGGGCGCTTGTACGTGGATAACCTGCAAGCCACGCGGACAGCGAGAGCTATGTTGTAGTTGGACAGCACATACACAGCTAGGGTCGTTCGGCGAGCTGCAGGCCCCAGGCCACAACATTGCACTCTCTTTTGCTGCCGTCTGGCCTGCTGGTAAGCGCCTTTCAACTCGTTCCGGTTAGCCACTAAAGCTTGCTGTAATCGGACTACTTCAGCTGCAGCTGCATCCGGCATCATGGCATGCACAGGGACGCCGGCAAGCCGTGTGTCACACAGGCAGACAATATGGAGACTCCTGCCTACGGGCCATGTGTTTTGCCCAAAGAAGCTGTATGACAAGGAAACACTGTTGAAAGTTCATGCTTCAGAGAATGAGCAACAGTGTTGACGGAAACATGGAAACATGCCGGTCACCCATGCTGACGCAGAAGTCAAACTGAGCCCGTCCCAGCTCTGCAAGTAGCAGCAAGCGACGTGGCCATGCTGCAAAGTGACACCCAAGGAATCCAAGTCTGCAAGTGCGCTGCGTTGACAGCAGCCGGCATGTCACAGTCTCACAACATTTTCACTTGTACGCAGGCAAGTCAAAACAAGGCTTTGTAAGCATACACCATACGGCGTCGCTCTGGCCACAAACATTGCACTTCCTCTCGGGTTGGTTTGACCCCTTCGGGGAAACTCACCGGAAAATCCATAACTCCCGCAGCTCCCGATGGAGTACTTGCGGATCAGGCGGATTGGTGCATCCGACCGCTGCGAAGCTACTGCGCCATGCCTTCTGCGCGAAAAATTCACGCGGGCATTGCATCAGCTCCCAAATCCATGCCAGGGGATTCACCAAACCATGCTGGGAAGTTGCTTTCAGACCTTCGTGCCTTGCCCGCAAAAAGGCTTTGAAGCCAGCAAATGCACAAATGTCCAGCGGCTGCAGCACATCAGTGCATTGCGCCGGTATGTAAACCAGCTGCACCTTCTGCCTCTTTGCCGCTTGCATGACCTCCTTTGGCAAGTGGCTAGGCGCACAGTCCAGCAACAAGATACCTTGTTTGCCTGGATACAGCTTCAGCACCTCACCAATGTCTCGCAAGAGTTGCACCATGTTCGCAGCAGAAGTCCATGCAGACTTTTGCGCAATGATCTTCAATCGGGTTGGTGGCAAGGCTTTCTGTGCCCGCAGCAACTTGCGCGTCAGCCTCGTCTTGGAACCTATCAGGTAATGTGGTAACTTCCCTTGGACATCTGTAGAATTGCAAATGAGGCTGAGGTATGTCCAAGCTCCTCTCCGATCCTGCTTCGACACTTTCGCGACCGCAGGAGCCACCACATTGCCAAGCCGCGGCTTCATGGTATACCCTACGCTCGTCTCATCAACATTCAACATGAGAATGTCTCGGTCGGCAAACTTCTGGTATAGATAGCGCAGATGCCGCCAAAAAGCATTGACCTTGCAGGACAAAGCATGCGGTGTGGAAACAACACCGACGCATCCAAAAGGGTGCAGCAATAGAGGGCGACAAAACAAACCCGAAAACTGGGACCAGAAATGGGGCCCTTAAGGCTAATCCTGTGCATGCAAACAATATACGGCAACGTACTCGGACCCTTTTTTGGGTCCGGAATCTGGACCCAAAAAGGGGGCCAAAATACTGCAGCAGTTTCCTCCCGTCCAAGGGACTTTCGCTTTTAAAACTGCCGGGTCCTTGTGCACCACCTGTTTCAACACTTTGCGGCGGACACCCCAGCGCGCACGCCACTTCTGCGCCCACTTGTTCACGTAGCGTCGCGGAGGGACACCCACGTCGAGCTGATGGCCGATAAAGGCATGCTCCCAGTGCAAGAAGACGTCCATCGAGGAAGGGGCCACACCATGCAAGACATTGCAATCACGCACCCAATCCGAAGTTGCGGCCTCTGCCAAAAAGGCGTGTGCCCTCTGCGCTGCTAGCTCGCCGAATTCAAGCCAGTCTGTTGGCGGGGATTCCAAAAAAAGCTCTTCTAGGGCTGCAGCTGTTGGGAACCCAGCATCCTCAGGGCGCTTGTACGTGGATAACCTGCAAGCCACGCGGACAGCGAGAGCTATGTTGTAGTTGGACAGCACATACACAGCTAGGGTCGTTCGGCGAGCTGCAGGCCCCAGGCCACAACATTGCACTCTCTTTTGCTGCCGTCTGGCCTGCTGGTAAGCGCCTTTCAACTCGTTCCGGTTAGCCACTAAAGCTTGCTGTAATCGGACTACTTCAGCTGCAGCTGCATCCGGCATCATGGCATGCACAGGGACGCCGGCAAGCCGTGTGTCACACAGGCAGACAATATGGAGACTCCTGCCTACGGGCCATGTGTTTTGCCCAAAGAAGCTGTATGACAAGGAAACACTGTTGAAAGTTCATGCTTCAGAGAATGAGCAACAGTGTTGACGGAAACATGGAAACATGCCGGTCACCCATGCTGACGCAGAAGTCAAACTGAGCCCGTCCCAGCTCTGCAAGTAGCAGCAAGCGACGTGGCCATGCTGCAAAGTGACACCCAAGGAATCCAAGTCTGCAAGTGCGCTGCGTTGACAGCAGCCGGCATGACAGCAGCCGGCATGTCACAACAAGGGCCCTCACTGACGACAGCTAGTTTGCAACCGTCTGGCGACCCCTTTTTTTGGAACCGGCCGTGGCCTCAGTCTTGTCTGTATAAGGGCTGGCTACACTGAATGAGAATCGCATTCCCTTCTAGCCATTCCCGATCTTCTGCAGCGAGCTGCTCCAGTTCGGTGGTCCAGACATTGGATGTGACAATGAGAGCGACATTCCAAACCCAGATGCGATAAACATACATGCCTGTCGCCGAGTGCCCAAGTGAAATTTCGGCAGGCGGCGCCTGAAACAATTTTTTGTGCTTCAAGACAAGATGGACACTAGCTTCATCAAACACCACACACCGGTGCCGTAGCACATCATATTCCCTCATGTCGGGCTCCAACACCCCAGAACAATTGGTTTCATACGTGTGATCTGCGCCAAAGAGAGACCGTGCATAGACAGTCTTCCCCAGGCGCGTTGGGCCATTCAGCACCAAGAATTTTCGGCGATGCATAGGCCGCGTGAACTGTGGCAAGTACAGCTGCGTCACTTCTGGTAGTTCCACTGGCTCTTTCTGCAGTGGGCGCAAGAGCTCTGCTGCAGCAGCCTGCTGCTGCTGAATGTACAGCTCCCGTTGTTTCTGGCCATGGTACTTCAGGTTCTCACAGTAAGCACGAATGTTGCGCTTGCATTGGACGTAGTGCTGCTCGGCACACTTGTTAATCTTATCCCCCTGCCAAAGTCCAGTCACCCAGTCGGGGCTCACTGTGAAAGTCTGGTATGCTGGGCAAGTGGTCTGGCGAAAAATGGACCCTTTCTTCTCCACTTGGAGATAAAAGTGCCCTTGATCCAGTGCACGACGGACTGACCGCCCACGAGCCTGCGAGGAATCCAAGGAGATGTGCGGCTTGCACCCACGAAATGCCAAACTTTGTCCAGACAGATGCACTTGTCGCCCTGGCCGCAACATGCGCTTGCATGGGCCAGGAAGGTACGGTGCTAGAGCCTATCTGGTTCTGTTAGCCATCAGAACCAAACATGAAACAGGACCGAAAAGTATGGGGAAGGTGCGTCCTCACATTGGGCTGCGAAAAAGAATGACTGGCACTGGGAATGAAAGATAAAATGACATGATTCAGGCTTGCGAGAGAGGTGCCCGCATTGCTGCCGAGTCGCGGGTGTCAAACATCATGTGCAAGTGAATGGAAGGCACTCTGCGTTGCAGCGTCACCTCTGTGTGGAGCTCCAGGGCGGTGCTGACCCGTTCAAAGCGGTACTTGTTGCCGAGCTCGGTCATCCAACTTTGAAAGTCATCCCAAATCGCAAGCACCTGCGGTGCGTTTCGTAGGCCGGCACTGAGCAGATCAATGTCGACAGATGGTCCTGCCGCAAGCAGGTCCAAGGAAGGTTGATGCTCAATCATGCTAAAGGAGCCACTGTATCGGAACATAGTACCAGTGCCCTTGTATGCTTGCGGCGATGGCTCGTTGACAATCGGCTCTTCGACATGCCACCCTGCCAGTATATCACGTGCAGCACGTGCAAACTTCACAGGAATTTGCGGCAACATGTCGCGCAAAATCTGCGGCCTGTCGGCTTGTGCAAATGAAGCTCTCCACCGCTGCCGCTTGGCGTGTCCGTGCTCATTCCGAGCGGCCATTCGCTGCGCAGCCCATTTGTCGCGCAGCCATATCAGCAGCTGCTTGCGTGCCTCCCGGTCAGAGGGGCCGTCTGGCGGCAGCTGCTTACCACAGAGTCGCCGTCGGACAGGCATGGCGGCACTGTGGCTCAATGATCATGTTCTTGTTTTGCTGCGTGACATGAAGGGGCCCTCATGGGAAGTTAATACCCTGGCAGCTAAGCAGTCGATGACAAAGCGACCGTACAATGAACAGCATGCAATGCCTCACCATGCTCTGTCTGGATGTGGGCACGGCGGCGGCACCCAAACAGCAGACCAAGCCTGCTCGCAGGCATGAGGACAAGCAAGCTTCCCATAGAGGAGCAGGAGATAGACGCGTCAGTTCTGGACATTGATGAGTTCAAATTGGTTATAAATGGGAGTCTATAAGGTCGAAATGGGGTTATGACTACTTATAACTGGTGAATGGCCATAACTGGTATAATAGCTGGTCTTTCACAGAGTGCAATGCACAAGAGCGGGCCAAAGAAAAGACTACAAGGCAAACAAGTGTGGGCAGCGGCTCAGCAGCTTTGTTTTCGTCAAGTACGCACGGACTTTCCGCGCCACTCGAGACTGTTGTCCCAGCGCTTGCATGGCTGAAAAACCTTGGCAGGAGCATGGAGAGGACCAAGCGACGGGTATGGACTGCGACAAAACCCAGACGACAGCACGGACAGGATCGGTCGGAGGACCGCGGAGGACCAAGCAACGGGAAAAACTATGGAAAAACGGGGGCAAAAATGGCGGTCCTCCAAATCCGCCTCTGGGAGAATAGAATTATTTGTAGCTACAAGCGAGGTTGGAGGACCATGTTGAAGCATGTTGTTCTGTGTCGCCACCATTCTAAAGGTGTCCCTTCCCACAGGCATGGTACTTTTCTTCCTCCTCTGGGTCTACAGACCTATACATACATATCTATACCTACGTAGATATATCTTTTCATCGACATTATATTATTATATATATACATACCTTTCTCTCCATGTCTTTCTCTATCTCTCTATCGCTCTTTTATTCTCGATCTATATATATCTCCATATACATGTCTATCGCTATCTAGAATCGGTACTAGAATGAAATACTCTAATGACCGGAAAGCGGGATCTTGAGCACTTTCATGCTGACAGCTTTGAACCAGGTAAAACCAAAAGACTGATCTTTATGTGCACATCTCCTGTTTTTTTCAAAATGCAGCATGGCATTGAATGCTTGAAATTCCCAACGCGAAGCATTGGCTTTTCGAACCGGATCACGAACAGTCCCGATCACCGACTTGCATCTCGAACATTCTTTTCCTTTCGACCCGGATCACGAACATTCCCGATCACCGACTTTCATCTCGACCATTGTATTGAAAAGTGAAACGAACGCATTGGGATGAGGAAGCGACCAGTTTCATATCAGCCACCTCCTAAAAAACTAGTCTTGTACGCATTTTATTTCGAGGTCTCTATTCTCCAAATCACATGTCTATCTAGATCGATATAAGGCTTTCTGGGGTATGTTCCGACTTGTCTTTTGTAAAGAATCCACCTTGAAGTTGTTTCAAAGTTCTTCAAACCTAAAGTTTTGCGTTTGGCAAAGCTCAGCTGTGTCTCATAGATTTTCTGTCCGCGTCTCCTAGATTTTATTCCAGTCATTATCCCCTTTGGTGGTTTTGGATGGATAGGGCAATTCAGGCATCAACATTCCTTGAATTGGGCAATCCATCCTTTAGGGGGTCATTACACTCCCAAAAATTAGCATAACCCCAAAAATTGTCGTGGATGAGATAGGGAGGTTCCCGGTTCAACCAACCCTTATATAATATCCAGCAACAACCAAGCTATCTAATCCGCTGGGGGGGTTCCTACACCGATTTAATCAAATGGGGGTGTGCTTCGAAGTTGCTACGCACGGAGCGGTTCGCTCCCCCCAATTGACCAAATCAGTTCCTAATTATATAATATTCTCTTATATTAATATATGTATATACAAATATATGTACGTACGTATCTATCATCCCATATCATCTTTGACATTTGCTGTCATGAAACATTGCAATCCCAATAGTTCACTCACCTGCATGGTTTGGCCATTTGGGGATGATTGAGGTCGTTATCATTTACCCTTTTCCGACAATCTACTAATTCATGCAAGCACCCTCATTTTGCGGATGCTAGACCTGGGAACTCGGTGTCATGCTGGTTGGTTACCCATCAAAAGTGGTCGAACCGGGGAAGATTGATAGACCTCAACAGCGTTTTACCGTCTGGTAAATTAACATAGACCGTGGGAGATAGGGATGGAAGACTAGTTGTCATTAAACCTTGGTGATATTAAGGGTCTATGTTAATTTACCAGTGGGTAAATCACTGTAACCATATAGGGATTCGCCAGTCATTTTTTATGGTGCACCGCGGTTGACCATTGGGGATTTATCAAACGATGGGCTTATATCATTGATTGAGCCTTATGGGTAACTGGCGAGAAATCACCATCAAACATGGGAATTTAACATGAACCAAGAAACCAAGGGTACAATTGCTAGATGTAGAGTCACTTCCCCCCTGGACAGGCAGCTGCACCATGTGCCCAGATGCAATGTGGCACAGCACCAGCCGCCAGCACCAGGCGCAAAGGCCCCAGAACGGCAGCAGCATCGCCAGGTCGTGCACGCACCAGGCGCAACGGCCGCAGCGCACCAGCATCCATCGCTGCCGCCGCAGCAAGAGAATGTTAAATCACTGACAGGATACGGCGTGTGCTATGTGTCACACAGTGGTGCGTCAATCAAGCAGGCCTCTGAATCCAATGAATGAATCTGAATAATCACTCCTACAGCCACTATGCAAAGCAATCGTCTGACTCCACTGACTGAATCGCTCTCACTTCCCACAGCCAACATGCAACATGAGTGGCCAGCTGCGATTGTTTTCAGACACCTTTGGCGTCAGGTTGTTAATCACACATAGGTGCACACTTCGTGTGCAAACTTGCAACTTCCTCACGCGTGTGCGTGCCATTGTAACACATGCAGGACGACATTGGCGCCCTTCACGGGCTTCACGGGCAAATACCAACACAGAGTCTCCTGCATAGCTCTGCACTTGTCAGAGCCATGCCTCTGCAGACAAACTGCAAACATCAGGGACGACCATTGGCAACCTTGACCGCCAACAGCCACGACAAATCTGCCGTGCTCAGTTTCCCAGCTTGCTTCATGATGCGACGGCGTTTTTTCTCCTGCGTCCGGCACAGACAATTTGCTGCAAACAAGCTAGCATTGATCATGGCAGTGCCCTCCTGCGGCATCAGTGATTACAAAGAACCCACAGGTATGGCCATTTACTAGTTATAATTGGTTATAAATGGGATTATACATTCTATAAATAGGGTTATAAGTACTTATAACTGGTAAATGGCCATAACTGCCTGCATGAATGAATGACTGTCGTTGATGGGAAATCAAGACAGGACATTATACCATGTCTGATGGCCACCAGTCTATGTCCTGGCTCTTCACCTCTCGGGTTGCTTGCGCCAACTGCCGCTTCAGCGCCTGTCGCGCTGCTTTCAAATCTGCCAAACGGTCTGCCGGCGGCGCAACGGCCGCAACATCAGCAGGTGCTGCTTCTGACGACATGGCTTCGCAGCAAGTGCGTCAAGGTGAGGGTCACCCAGGGCAAGTTCCTTCTGGCCAAAAGCTTGCAGAGTCTTCTGACAGTTGCTTCAGGGTTGCACGCTGCAAGCACATGCTTGCAAAGAGATGACACTAACACTAGCCTACACGGGGAACCCAAAAATGGGGGCTGGGATTATGCATAAAACTCGGCTTCCACAAGCTGGACCCTAATAGTATGTATATATATATATATACATTTCGGTTGTGCAAATATGAGGTATACCTGTGAATATCCCAAATGTGCCAGGTTTAAGTGTGAATGATGTTGTTGCTGCTGCTGATGATGATGGCTTGCCTAAGGAAGCAATGGTGTCCAAGGTGATGCAAGTGTTGACCCTCTTTTGGAAGAGGAACGGGCCGCAATGACGAAGGGTCTCCTGTTCTTCGTGTGTGGGCTTCAGCAAACTCGGGTACTCCCTTTACCTTCACGTATGTATATGCACATATTTATATGCATACACATCTATGCATATGTACTCGTCTATACATATTATACAATAATATATTATTACATAGCTATACATAAACGGAACGACAGAATTGGGTTCAAAATCCTGCTTTCTCCAGGGATGGCAAGATGGAGCCACATCGTAAGTTTGGGCGTCACATGATTTCCGTGAACATCATTGGATTTCCTCCATTTCTGGCAATTTTCTCAGCCGTATGCATCCAAAAGTTCGCCTGAAAATGGACCCTAAAATCCCCATGGATCATGGTTGATGATCAGTTTCTTAAACGGACATGCCTGAAAGGGTTACACCCCATAAAATCAAACATAGCCATGTTTTATACGCGCTCCCGCACATCCCATGGCACCATGGGTCAGGAAGCAGAATCCTGACTGGATGACCTCACCAAGAGATGTCTTGCGAAAACATGTTGCTCAAATACAAGGCCTATCCATAGTTTGCCGCTGCCGCTAAGGAGCACCCTGGGATGCTGAAAGTGGTATCCATAGTTTGTGATGTTTGTGGGGAGCCATGGTGCTAAGAGTTTTCCCAATCTATGATAGCAGTTTTCCCAATTTTGATGATGCAGTTTTTTGATGTTGCATGGTTCTTCCGATGTTTCATTGCAATATTTTACACACCATGATGTGTATGAAGAAACATAGGCCACTCAAGGATCCAGCAAATTTGCAATTTTACTTTGGGTTTCCCGGATTTCCCAGTTGTACCCAGCATCTGCAGGTAGTTCTCACACGGCGTTGAGATTGAAACACACCGTGGAAGCATTAGTTTCTCGTCATTGTGTGATCCTCCCGAGGTCGCAGTTGCCTCTGCCCGGAAAACGGTTGTGATGGATTTTTTGGGGCAACAAAACCAACATGTTGGTATTTCACAGGATATATTCAAGAATTTCAAACATTGGTAAAGGAAGCCCAAAAACGTGGATGCAACCAACAAACAAGGGAAGACTCCCTAAGTCAGTTGCAACTAGCCGCTCAGTGGGGTGATTTGCCAGGTAGGTTGCCATAGCGCATTTGGGCCATGCGGGCACGCTTGAAGGCCCTACAGAGGCCTGCACCAATATGTGTCAATATGTATTATATTTGTATGATTTTATATATGTAACATATATTCATATGTAATTCTTATATATAATAGGTGTTAATATGTATTATATATCATATATGTTGCATACATTATATATCATATATACACATTACACATTATATATATAGTTCAGTTATATATATATATTATGAACAAAAAGGTTTTGATCATATCAATTGTTTTCTAAAAGAAAACATGCTCACACATTAAACTATAATTTATGTTTCATGTTCTATATGTTCCTGATGTTTCATAGAGGATTTGCTGTGAGGTTGGGAGCTGGAGGATGTTTCATAGATGTATGTACTGAAATACTCACATATGTAACATATGTTCAAAAACATGTATACCCATGATGTGTTATTTTTGCTTCATGTCCTTTTATGTTTATCGGTTTGTGAGGTTCTGCTGTGTGCAGAAGACTATGAGACGAAGAACAAAAACAAGATGGACGAAAAGGACAAACAGAGAATGTGGGAAGCTGGGACGACATGAGTCACAGGCCCACATGGGGCCCTCAACCACCGCGAATCTCTATAGGTCTACAGATGTAGAATTTGAATAAGACTTCATTGCGGTTTCTGAGTTTTTGCTCAAAGTCTTGTCAGACATGAGTTGATGTCAGTTTTAAGCAAGATTTTCAGGGGAGACTAAATCACTCTTGCAGTGATTTTGTGACGGGTAGAAAATCAGGGACTCTCAACTGATATCAACTGATCTCCATCCGCCAATTGTTCCTACAATGTGAGGCCCCCCAGTTATAAGTTATAAGCCCCAGTAACTATAGTTGTAAGTACCATAAACCATAGTTATTGGAGTTATAAACCAACTTAGCTGGTTCCATGGCTGGTGAGTGCTGAGTTCCTAAGGACGATTACAAGGCCAGGGCTTTGCTTCAGACCCCTCAGCAGCCCCGCATTGTCCCTTATAAAGGCGCCAAATCACGGCCCGAGGGATGGAGCTGTTTTGCTGGTTACTATATTGACTATCTATATATATATACAATATATATATACAATATGTATATATATATACAATATATGTATGACATGGAGTCATTTTGACTCATTTAACTATACATATGCGTCTATCCATATATATATATAACTATATATATATATACAATATATGTATGACATGGAGTCATTTTGACTCAAATAATTTAACTATACATATGCGTCTATCCATATCCATATATATATATATATATATATAGATAGAATGACAATATGAATAATTATGTAATAAGCAATGGTGTAAAACTGGAATGTTAATGCAATGTCAGCAGGAAGGCACCGACAGGAGGCTGAAGTCAGCGTCACTTGTACGCTATACTTCGTAGCCTCTAGAATTACGTGGATATTTATTGGACCATTTTTTTTAAAGGAGCACTTGATTGGGTGAAATTATATTGGGGGTTGTATTGTCAGTATTCTTGGTGTAAATGTGTATATATATATATTATGATGATGATGATGACGACGACGACATTAATGGATTTACTGCATCATTTGGTTTGCCGGATCATAGATGAAGTGCAACTTCTCAATCCACCTGCCTGACCTCGTCAATCTCGGTCTTCTTCTTCCTCCAATGGGTTTATCCATTTACCCCACTTGGTTTCCACACAGATCACCCATTCATGTGTGGATTATGTATACCTATGTTGGGAATTGTCCCGATGTTTTCCTAAAAAAGAGCCAACCCGACTTCAGTTGATGAGTTTCCATTTGTTTGGGAGATTATAGAAAACCATAGAAAACCAATAGAAATAACACCAAAACTATCGTAACATTTTTATAACACCAATAGAAAACCATAGAAAATCCATGGATTTTGAGTGATTTGTTCCGGTCCAACTACCAATTTACCAGCCATGACCCAGTTCAGGCTATGATGCTCAGACTGCTGAAACTCCACGGCAACGCCGTGAGCCTTGGACCGGCGTTGGGTTTACCAACACTTTTGGCGAACTGGTTTCCCGTCACCATTTTTTAACACGGGAAATCAACGGTTACTAAATGGCAATGTTAGATTCTCATAGGCGAACTGGATTTCTGGGTTTGTTTGAATGTTTGAAAATGGTGTATACATGGCCATACATGGCTATACCCATGTATACCCCATAAAAAGTGTAGTATTTTACCCTGTAAAATGATGAACAGAAGTGGATTACAGGGGTATCCGTTTGACCATCCCATTGTGGGGCGAAAAAATCTGACCCATATTCATTGTGTGTACAGACATGTGGTGCTTATCTATGCTTATCTTATATTATGTTCCGGTAAAAAGGGATGATCATCATCTTAAGTCTATGACATCTATGAGGGACTAATATACTTATATTAATTAATCACATTTCATTCATGATGGTGGACCAAAGCTGTTTCTTAAGGACTCGTAGCCCCAGTGTTTGAGCTATGGACATCCCATTGCAGGTTTCACCCATTTCTGGAACTCGGTTTGAGCTCCTGGCAATTGAACATGCTTTGATCGAAATCAATCGTTTAAAATGTTAGAGACGGCAATTAGTGTCATGGTACCCTATGGTGATATGTTGTTCAAAAATAATTCCTGAAATTGGGGCGGAAACCTCTATTGTGATATACAATTTCTCAGACCCATTTTTTTCAGGAGGAAACAAGTAGGCCGAAGAAAAAAATATCGTTCTTGTAGGTCCAGTCCCTTCTTGTTTGTTTTCCCCCGAAATTATAAAACCTTTTGTTCACCCTTCCTGTTATTATAGCTGCTGTATCTTGATCACCGCAATCATCTTGAATCTTCAAAATGTCAAATGTCCCCAAATGTTTAATTTTATTGTTGAACCCTTACTAAAACAGCAGGTTACCCATGAGTGACTCAGATCCTCAATAATATAATTATTGTTTGGATGGTACTTTATTGTCAATTGTGCTAAGGAATTTCTGCGGAAAAAACAAACTGTTTTTTTTTCCATCGTTCTTTGGGTAAAGCTCTCACTTGTGAAGTCGTTACTCGTCCTTAGATTTCTTTATGGTTTAAAAAGGAAAAGCAATTGAAAGTTAACTGAGATGAATTGAAATCCCTACTTTTCCTTAGATTTCCTTATGTGTTTAAAAGGGAACCAATTGAAAGTAGATTGACATGAATTGGAATCCTTACTTGTCCTTTAGATTTCTTTTGGGTTTGAAAGGAACATGAATTGCAAACAAATTGATATGAATTGGAATCCTTGCTTATGTAGATTTCTTTTAGGGTAAAAAGAGAACATCATTGAAAGCAGATCAACATAAATTGAGATCCTTACTTGACCCCTTATCCCAAGACAATTTTGAATAGTGTTTTGTATACCAGCCAGTATACCATAATTGTTTGTTGGGGGTCCCCCTACTGTATAAACCTCCATTTTATACTGGATGTTCCATTCCCATGAGATGCCAAAATCACTACCCGCAGGTAGTGAAACTTCCCAAAGCCAGCGAGCGATCGCAGCCGCCCTTCACCGCACGTAACCGGGCGATTGACGTGAAGAATCCTGGGCATCTATAAGACAAAGCCACTGAAATGTTGGTTTCAACAATCGATCTATGGAGATAAAACTTAAAGGTTCCCCATGGAGAAAAAACAATAGATGGATCAACATGTTTCTTAGTTTAAATGGTTGCTTTATGATCTGAATGGAGATTAAACTAATCATTTGATATGGGATGATAACCACCAATATGAGTGGGATATAACAATATATATATATATATGTATATGATGGTTTGATTTATGGAGATAAACCTTAGAGCATTTGATACCGGATGCAATGGAATATCAATGTATATATATATATATATATTATGTATATATATATATATTATGTGCATATATATATATATATTATGTATATATATATATATATATTGTGTATGTATATATAATATAATATAATATAATATACTAATAATATAATATAATATAATATAATATATAGGTCTATTCGGGTATGACCAACAATTATGCGATTTGGATAAGATAGGGATCAAACCAATTGATGGGGATAACCTTAGAGCCTTTGAGCATTTGATATTGAGATAGGATAGAATGGCATATAACCAACAACATTGAGGTTTGTCTGAAAATGGGATACCCAACAATTTAATCACTGACAAAACATGTTTACCATTCAAATTGCCGTTTGAGGTGTGCTCCATGTTCAGACGCGCTCACACATGCAAGCATACTACTTCAAAGATGTATGTGGGAAACCAGCCTAAAATCACACAACTGTTTCAGTAGGTCCAGGCCGGCAAAATGATTGCACACCAGCCGGGTCAACTGAAACGTACTGCCTGATAGGCCCGAGTTTTTTTGGGCATGAAACGAAGTCGAGTCACCCGGCAAGCCCCAAGTTATGGGCACTTATAACATGCACAGCGGAATATGTGGCATGGCTTTGGCTTGAAATTGCCATGGACACTGCAGGCCATGAGTAGGGAATCAACCATCAATGGCTGTGCTCAATGGCCAACCAGATCAACCAGTCGTCCTCCCCAAACATGTGTATTCGAACGCCATGGACTTCGTGATTTAATCGAGAAATGAAGGTAGAGCTTAGATAGATAGATATATAATATATATATATATATATGTATATATATATTATATATATAACATAATATGACTAGGCTGACTAGGATATAACATGACATAACTAGGTGAGCAGATTGTTTACTTTGGCTCGTTTTTTGGTGAACATGTTTGTTTCCGCACTTCTAGAGACACTGCTAGGTCCTGACATCCCAGACACCCGTTGTGACCATTGAAAAACCAGCGACCATTGTTCGAGAATTGCACCATTTTTCCACCATTTTTGCTACATATAAATCTTCAGATTGTTCATGTTTTTTTTACTCTAGTTTTTTTTACTGTTGCTAAATAGAAATCTTGAGATTTCAGCATCATTCACTGTCTCAGGTAGCCGTGGGCCCATAGGACGCTTGATCCTACTGGATCAAGGACAGTTGTCACCTCGAGGCAAATATTTGCAGGTGCGGCTCGGGTTCAGAGAGATGACCTCTTGGATAGTGAAAAAACATGGCAGCGAAAAACAGTTGTTTTTTGGAAGTTCCCATGTATATTAGAGTATATTAAAATTAAACATGTATTAAACTTGTTCAATATGTCATCTATGTCTGGTCAAATAATGAAATCATCATGTTCAATAGGGGTTTGCACAAAAAGTAGCAGCGGATCTCATACCAACAACACCCCAAATTCGCATGTTGCTGGACGGTCCGACCGCTTTTTTGAGCCGTTTGTGAGCAGAAAGATGTGGACCTCGTATCTCCAAATCCCTAGGTGAATTAGTTATGTTAGTTGAGGTTGGATTTTAGTGAATAGCATTCATCCTCAGTTTGCCATATTTTACCTATATTTTACCTGTCACCCACAATTGCTGGCCAATATTCCCCTAAGTTTCTCGTCTACATGTTGTCGATTTCGGATGATGGGACTGGGGGTCCCAGTCATCCATTTGAAACGCAGTTTGCTGTAGTTTCAGCCTTTGCTCAGTCCAGCCCTTGCTATTGGTGACTGATCCTCTTGTTGTATGATATCTCATTTTTGTTTGAATTAACTTGCATTCTTTGTTTGTTTGGATTAAACTATAACAGATTGTATATTTATATCTACAATTATACCATATATAGATAACAAATGTTTCGTTCCGAAAATCTGTTTGATTTTGCTGCTGAGTTCCGCCTGCAGTATTTTTTTCAGGTGTGTACCCAACACGGGATTCGGCCTGCTTTGGAACCACTCCTCGCAGGACTCCTTGATGGACGGGAGCTGGCGGTTGAACCAATACTGGATCATTTGTTTGGGAAAACATCATGTTTTTGACAGGGAATGCTGAACAAAAGACAAGAAGATTACAAGAAGCATTTAGAAACTATACTGATTGTTTAGTCACAATCAGTTAGATTAAACATGGATCGAATACACATATAGTCTATAGCCAGAGAATATTTTTTTTTTTTTAATAGAAGGTAGGGACAATCCGTGATCAGCTTTGCAGGTCAATCCTCAAATCTGGTGATGGTGAACCAGAATTTATCGGATCATGATGTCCTAGCACTGCTTCCTGTGATCGAGACTCGGCGTGGCCAGATTTCGATGGTGAAATTGCCAATCCCCAAATGTCAGACTCCAACGTTTGAATAAAACCATGGTGAGCGGTGCACTTCCATCAGCATTGGTAGGTCAAGGCAGCAACAAAAACATGTTACAGGACTCAGTGAGGAAGCTAATACAAATTTACCATATTAATATCCAGTAATATCCAGTAATATTAATAACTATCTATTAATATCCAGCATATTATTGCAATTTTACGTAGTAAAACACATATTGCAATAATGAACGTGATTGTCTGCTCAATCCATCTATAGGCGCATAAAGGAGAAGCCAACTTTGAATTGCATTTTACTTCTGAAACATGAATGTGTCTGAAAGCAGATTACCCAAAACCCGATGGCTTATCATCATGCAATTGAACTTTGACATTTTTGGTATGCCACATTTTGGACAACCCCCATACTGTTGGCTACATTCCATAATTGATATCCACTATACAGTATGATATTATGGAATGATTTGTAACTATATCCATAATGGAATGATAATATAATAATAATAATCATAATAATAGTAATAATAGTAATGATAGTAATAATAGTAATAATAGTAATAATAGTAATAATAGTAATAATAGTAATAATAGTGATAATAGTAATAATAGTAATAATAGTAATAATAGTAATAATAGTAATCATCATCATCATCATCATCATAATCATCATCATCATCATCATCATCCATCACTTACAGTATGATCATATCCACTATTCGGAAGTATTGGACAAAATGATGGGTTCAATCCCCATATTGGACGGTCGTGGCGCACCAAGGAAGAGACTCAAACCTTAAACTCCGTGGACTTCTCCAAGAACCCCAACCTGACAGCAGCATGGCGCACACGTTGACCGTGACATGGAAACAGCACGCCTTAAGCGTGGATCGTAGATGATATTTGCTGATCTGTGATGGGTGATTATTGATTGTAAATCATGATAATTACAATAATCACTGTATATTTGATACTTCTATGACTATGATGTCTATGATCATGAAGTGTATTATTTGGTTTCACTGGTGTGTATATATATATATATATTATAGATGATGGTGATGATGATGATGATGATGATGGTGATGATGGTGATGGTGATGATGATGATGATGATGATGATGATGATGATCCCCGAGGATCGCGCCATCATCCCATTGCAGCTCGGTTTTGTTTGTCGCCAGGTTTGGCCGAGGGCCTGACTCGGATGGAATTTCCCTTTTTTTTAATATCAGCTGGATAGAACAGGGGATTGAGGGGGATTGTCCATTGCAACGTTTCCTTAGGATACCCGGATACTCTTCAAATACTTGTGGAAGCGGGACTCCGCCCATCAGCTGTTCTGGGTGATTCATCATGACCTTACCACGATGTCACAGTAAATGATGGTCACTAAGGGGGACCACCCAAACATCCCTTTATTTCAGTTGGTGAGACAGGAATTCTTTCGCATCACTGCAAAACAAACTGCTCTTCAGCTTGAACACAGCAGGCTTGACCAGTCAAGATCTATCCAGATGTCAGCGCACAGCAACATACTATGCTCTTCATATCATCCCGAGTTTGCTTCTTAGCAGATCTGGAGGAAACCGTAGTTTTACCATCCACATATCCTAGAATTTGATGATGGGAAAATATACATGAAAACCGGTAAAAGCAACTGTTGAACTGATCCATTGAATCCTCAAGATTCGCTGGTTGCCCATCAAAATCCCATCAAAATCCCATGATACTCACCCATTATAATCCCAATTTAAATCCCATCAGTTATATTCTCAATCCCATGAATAGTAATCCCATATTGGGTCAACACGGTGAACATGTTCCTCTCAGGAAGCTCAGGCCGTGCTGAAAACCAAGTTTTATTTTCCGATGGGTTGATCCAATGTGGGATATGGCTTGGATATCCAGTGTTGGATATGGTTGGATATTGGAATCTTAAATGCACACACATATATATATATATAGAGTGTATATATATATACACACATATACGCAGGCTTGGTTGTACAGCATACCCACCAACCATTTTAGTAGGGAAGATGATTATAATCCATTGGAATTGGGGATATCCTATTTTCAGACAAAGCCTTGTATTTCATCTGTTTAATTCCGCTGTGTACGTTCTCTTCTTAATATGTTTCCCATTTTTTGACAACCATAATTTATATGTAATCATATGTGTCTCGAAGGCACATGCCTTATCTCTGGACTCCCCATTTCGAACCAAAGCCAGGTTTCGTGCGATCAGCTCATCTGCCGTGACCCTGCGGCACTTGCTGCTGCAGAGCGTTTCTATGGGACCTTCTGCTCAGCAAATCCTGGCAGAATTGCAGCTTGGCACTGCCGTGAAAAATGATAAAAACAAATGAAATTGGTAGAAACATGTAAAACATATAGTCAGGTGATTATTTGTTCCCTTGTACATAGAGCCTTGTGCTACAATGTGCTACTTACGTGATACTGTAAGGTCCTGGTCTTGAGCTTTGCATCTTGAAGTTTCGGAAACAAAATGCATGACTGCTGGTTGCCAATGATACCCCAATTTCCACAGTCCACCAAGCTCGGGAATACAAGTGCCAGCCATCATGAACCAGAATATGACAATCATTGAGATATGATTCACCATATATATATATATATATCCCCATCATCATCATCATCATCATCATCATCACCATCATCATCATCATCACCATCATCATCATCATCAGCAGCAGCAGCACATGAGTATTGAACAGACGTCATCGAGCGTCCAGCACGTTCCGTCAGCCGTCGAGGCTAATGAGCCATGCTGGCTTCGTGAAGCTCATCACATTGAATCTCAGCGAGGCGGCTACATAGCCAATGTTTGCGTTTCTAAACTTAGTATGTATAATATGCATAGTATATAAATGTATGTATAGTATATATATACATATATACGTATATATACATACATACATACATATACATATGTAGTGCCTCTATTATATATATATATATTTATACATGTGTATAGTGTATATAATATATGTATAGATGTATACAGTGTGTGTATATATATATGTACATATGTATGTAAATACATTTACATTTACATAATCATACATGTATGCGATGCATTTGCATATATTGATATTCTGAAAACATTCCAAACATGGTGTCCAGCATCCCGCACTTATCGGCCAGGTTTCTCTTCAACGGAAAGGTTTCCTGTCCATAGCACAGTCCATTGCGCAGCACCGTGGATTGAGCCTTGGCCCTTTGAACATCTGGAGATTACAGAACTACTGTAGTCAGTCCTTGCAATTTGTTAGTTGATATTTTTGCGCAGCAGCAAACAAACATGTTGGCGGACATTTCACCGTGGTAAGAACAAGAATAATTTACATTTTCTTAGGGTACGTTTTAGATTACTCAACACACGTAAAACGGGTTTTACCACTGTTTACCACAGCACATTATTAGCAGAGTCCAAATCCACCAACATGAAATGGTTCAGAAACCAACCGTTTGTGGGTTTCCTCGCTGGTGAGACTTGAATAGATGCATCCACCTTCAATGGTTTTGAGCGTAAATCGGAAGTTTGCAATTTGAGGGACTTCCACGTGTCCCTTTCTTGCATGGCGGAAGATGGTAATTTCAAACTTGAAGTGTCACGTCAAATGCCGATCACTTCCCACTTTTCATTGTAGTCGTTCATGTGAGGCCAATTTGCTGCTGTTGTTGTGGTTGTTGCAACGCCCAGGACAGATCTGAACCTCTCCAACGCAGGCCCGGGGGCAACCTGTCCACAACCATTTGGTAATCAATCGTGGCATTGGACAATCCCTTATAAATGGAGGTTTTGATGGTAGAAACATCTAGAAATCATGGATTGTCCATTGCCATGTTTGATTACCGGATGGAATTTCCTGCAGTTTCAGTGGATCATTGAAGCACTTTGCCAGATGTGGAAGTGATGTGCAAGATTTACATCCGATGAGTGAGAAACCATGATGTTTGTAGGAACCCTGTAGTGGATACCCAGGGGTTGGATGGGTTGGCTTGCTAAATGTTGGAGCCAGGTGACTTTCAAAATCCTGTGGGACTTGACCGAAGATTTTTTTCAGAACACCAAACCACTGGAGAACTTGTTGCACTGACATCCAACCTGAGGACCGATTTCAGATACCCCAAGATACCCCAAGTATGTATATGTGAATATATGTGAATATATGTGAATATGTGAGAATATATATATATATATATAAATGTGAACATATATGTGAGAATATATGTGAATATATGTGAATATATTTAAAAAAAATGTGAATATAAATGTGAATATATATGTGATATATATATATATATATGTGAATATGTATAGATATTATATATATATATGTGAATGTATATACGTGAATGTATATATGTGAATGTATCTATATGTGAATATGTTTATATATATATATATGTGAATATATATATATGGGAATATATGTTTATTCATTGCTCATGTTTGCTCATGTTTGCATGTCTCATCCATTTGTCATTTCATCCTCGGAGACATTCAAAGAACCCACAATACATATACAGTATATATATATATATATCTATATACATGATTAAACACCAGCATGTCCTAACGGGTGCCTATCAAGCGCCCCTTAGGGTGGGTAAGTATAAAACACCCGTTAATTTTTAAGGTCCTGAACTAGCAGACAATGAGGTATTCGTACAATTTTTACAAGATTTCACTACGTTTGCTTCGAGGTGTGATTTTTCTCCAAGCAATACAGGGAGTCTTGTTGACAACATGGAAACCCTGCCCCAAAACGTTGATTGTTTTTGGGAAGTGAGGACGATGGATATTATTCTTCAAGTTGTCCTCCAATCCGACCACATCGGTCCTGATTCTTCACTTTCTTCTCCTTTGTCTTCTGGTTTTTGGGCATTAGATTTTTGAGAAATCAAGAAAAACATGTGTGTCAATGTGTGTGTCATTGGCCTGTTGTGTCGGTGAGTAGGAGGTGTCTTTAAAGCACCCATTAGCCAAACAGGTGCCTAATAAGCACCCCATAGAAACGTGTCGGGTGCTTTTGGGACACCACCTATGCATGTCATTTCGTGTCCGTTTTGACTAGTTTTGAACATGTAACAAAATTATACCTTGAGACGTCCTTCATACAATAGCGTCTCACACCTTACTTTGGGAGACATGGCAAAAGAAAGGCTGGGGGCCTTGTCATGACACAAAAGTTTGACATCCAATGTCCTAAGAAAACAGAGGGCAAACATGTTAGGCAAAGCTTGTGTTTCCAGCGGAACCATTGTCAAAAAAAATCCTTGGATTTGGGATTGGAAGTCATGTTTTTGTTGTTTTTTTCTGGCGTGCTATCTCCATGAACTTCAAGGGGTGTTTTTTTTTCAGCACCCCTTACTTAAGAATCTCAATTTTCATGATGCTGACGCCCCTTAGAACGTCCTGGCTGCTACGGAAGGCCTGGTGCCCTGTGGGCCTGATGGAAAGCCGCTAGGGCGCAGTTGTGCAAGGGCAGAGAAAGGCAAGGGGCGACAAATCCCTAACTGAAAGAAGGACCTTTTGAGGATTTAATGGTCATCGAATGAACTGTGTTTACATCATTTGATGGTATTCTGAACAACTTGCAGTGACCATTTATGCTGCCAATTCTCGTTGTCTATTTTCGGAGAAGAAACACATAGACATTTGTGGATGGTTTCCACTAGACAAACACTGACAGTCTCCGCCAACCACTGGTCCAACTTGATTTCAATACACAACATTTCCCAGGGCAGGTGGTTGCTATTTTTTTGCTCGTATTACCACCACCAAAAGGCTATAGACATGGTTGAAACTGTTATTGTGGAAAAGGATACCACAGTTATGTTGGCGCTTGCAATAGGAGAGACATTTTTTTTGTTTTTAATCATTTCAAATACCACCTTGGATCGCCTTGGCATGTCGCCCAGGAACTGTTTGGGTGCCTTGGCATACGGTTGGACAGGGCGGACAGATGGTTTCCCCGAAGAGCCCCTTTTTGGAGGTAAAATCGGGATCTCCTAGAAGTGGTTGACCTATTTTGGTCACGAATTAAGAGCATAAGGTTCAAACCTAGCAGCACCGAAAGCCAATGAAGGATAATGAAAGATTAGTTTGTCATTTTTTGTAATACTCAACCACTATCTGGTTGGTTCAAATATGTTCAACCACACAGGTGGGAAGACAACCCTCTTGGCGTTGAAACCACCAACCCGGTATATTGTTTGGTTACTTGCACCTGAGGTTCAAGTCAACAGCGGAAATGCAAGTTGGTGGAGAAGGGGATTCCCAATTCTTTATCTTTGATCATTTTGATCATCTCCAATGTACTGAATAGATTTGGATAGTATAACTCCCTTACAACTCCCTCAAACTCATTAAGCAACAGGGCTGTTGAAGCATGACGGAACGCCACTGCTCTGTTTTTCACGCCAGGATTGCTGATGCAATGCGCGCAGCTGAAAAAGTTGGACTTATCATGGAATTGCCTGGACACGCCACTGGGATCCACGAACGAAGCATACGAAAAATCACCATGTAATTTGCATAAATCACCAAAGAGAGATCACAAGGTTCATGTTAGATGTGTTTTAGTAGGAATTTATTTGTCGATCTTTTTTGGGGTTATTGATATTTTTTCTCGTATGTATAGGACAGAAGATCATAGAAGATCAAGATCATCCACTTGGCCAAAGGTCTATTGGTTTGGTGATTGTGTTTTTTGTGTCCCATGTGTCCTGTTTTATTTGGTCTATTTTTGGTTCCATGTTCTGGTGGCATGGTGGATCTTGCTTGGAGTCCCCATCATAGTCGTATCCGATGCTCCTATGGTCATCACTATCAAGGGATTGGCCAATTGAACACATTCTATCCTCCACAATCCAATGACTTGGGTGAGTCCCTGTTGTCGGCTCCCAGTGTTGCTGAAATATCCTGCAGTTTGTTTGGATGGTTGGATGTATCCCGAGCTGGAATGTTTCACGTTTCATGTTTTAAACCGTGCTCTGATTTAATAAAGCTATGAAGAAAGGTATCAATGGCCCATTTGTAAATGTGTTACCTATTAAAAATAAATGGCGATCTTCCATAGCTATGTTTGGTATCACCCAGGGTATCTGATTTGGAACTCGTCAACTAATTCAATTTAGGGCAGTAGGTTCACTGTCGATGTGGCTATATAGATCCATTTTAACTTTCCCATGATGAACTAACCAAAACCACACGGTGGCCCGCCCAATTACATTGGAAATTGGTTGGCTTTCTCCCATCCAATGGTTCACATGTCTTCCGTTTTGTAACGTTTTCTATAACTCATCGATTAACCCAATCTAAAACAACATAAACATACATAAATCAACTTATGCCCAGTGATGTTCAATTCACATGTCTGATTCATATCCTTTAAATCCACAGAGACCTGCCATTTTGCCAATTTTCCACATGTTTCTCCAAGGTCAGCCTTAATGCAACTGGGCCAAGCGTTGTCCTCGCGCCGGGCCTTGCAACATTTGAACCTGGCTGCGGCGGCAAGGAGGCGACCGAGATGGTTCCACTGGCTCCAGGGTAGGAAAGTGATGCATCTTTTTAGAAATGGATTGAATCCGTTTCGTTTGGGGTTATTGTACTATATATATATATAATTATATATGTATATATATGTATGTATATATATATATATGCATATGTATATATATATGTATATATATATATATATACATATTAATAGGATATTAATAGGATATTAATATTAAGGATCATCCCACTAACATGAAGGTTTGTCTGACAATGGGGCGTACCCCTCAAACAGCATTTGTTTCATCGGAAAAATGAGGTTTTGAACCCTGAAATTTGCGCGTGGTGTCCCATTTTCAGGACAAACCCATGGCATGGATATATACATATATTATATACATACCGGTAGTATGAAATCATAAGTTGTTGTTGTTTTTAGAGTTTGAAATCAATATTTCAATGGCAAAACTAGTTGGATAATTGTAGGATATGGAGTGGATCATAACCTATGCCATTTTCGGTGGCATGGACATTCAACCAGGTTATTTGCTTGGGTCTCACTGGGCTACCGGGTTTTTTACCCATACCCATATCAATGCTTCGATATTGCATACTTGTATATACATGTGTAAATCCACTGTTGATTTGGGTGAAGTATTATTTGCTGGTTGTCATTCAGATGTCTGGTTTGTGGCTTAAAATATGTTTCATGATAAACCGCAGAAATAAGATGATTCCCCATGTCGGATTTTTTGAGGTTTGGAAACCACCGATGATCAGACGCAATAGTTTGACATTGTATGTACAAGTGGCAATAGACATAATGGAGATTTTATGATATATATGTATATAGTATGTGCATACATACTATAGACAACGAATGACCTCAGAATGAATAATAATGTTCTTCTTTAGTTTGGCATTCATGTTTTAATATGATGCAGATCGTTGGATTGTTGTTGTTGTTGTTGTTGTTTTGGTTTGTGTTTGTAGCTAATTGTAGCTCTATGTCATTATTCAACTGAGTCTCATGCAGAATCTACCACATGTACTATACGTATGCATTATTCTATGTGCACTGTATACTATACATTGTTTTGCGCTGATGACTCTGAACATTTTCTAACATTTTCTTTCTTCTGTGTGTTTTATCTGAAGCCGTGCGGTACGAAAGAATTGGGCATGAGTTGGGACAGAGCGAAGCAGTCAAGGTCTGAACAGTTTTTCGAATGATACCATGACTTTGTTCTCACCTAGGGCCGGCCCGGGCTTCAGGATTCCAATGATTCATGTTGTTGCCAGGATGTCATCATGGAAATCTGCCGGTATCCCTACATTTGGGTCCCAAAAACGATCGGCATTAAAGAAGGTTAACGTGTGGTGAATCGATAGTAGTGAGTCAAGAAGATGAGTATCTTGTCTTATATCCTAACGGGTGGCGCTTAATAACCAGCAACTCCTGAATCAGTTCGTTGATAAGTGAATTTACATGAATTGATGCATCAGGTCGTCGACGGATCGAGATTTGCCCATTGAGCATTTTTTGGTGGCTTGGTGCAGATGGGTATGCGAACTGGTCTTGATTGTATACATGGTTTATTTTATCACTTGATTCGGTTTGTACATATCCATTAAAGGAAGGGCAAGATGGACCAACAAACATGTGTATATAAATAATATATATATACTATCCATTATGTATAGTTATTAAATAAAGCAGGCCGACTGTCTACTACCTGGTTCACACTAGAACCAGCAGGTTTGGGGAACTTGGTCTAATGGACCTATTGTGGCCATCAACAAGTTGCCAAAGCCACAATACCTGTTGGCCGATGATAGAAAGATGGGGGTTGGTAGCAATCAGTAGGGATTGGCTTTATCAGTTGGTACATCACTGTTAAACCGTCCCATTCATATGATGGTTCAAAAGCGGTTTCACCCAAACCAAAAATTTGGTTTATCGAAATCCATTTTTTGGGGGTTATTACTTTGGGTCTCTGGAAAAAAACTGACCAAGAAACAAACATTGGGATTATCGAACTCCCAAATTGAAGCTGATAGTGTTTATGTAAAGCAGGTAGACATGACGTTGGTGGTTTCACTTATATAGAATGAACCCACGTATATAGAATACAATGTAACATCACTTGCATACTGATACATTGTCATTGATAAATGTGATGTAGCATAACATAACTCAATATAATATAGCTGTGTTATATTGCGTTTTTGGTTATTATAGTTTGCATTAGCTGATGTTATATGTTTACTGTATTTTACTGTATCACATTGTATTTGCTTATCATATTAGTTTATGTAATGTTATGTTTTGTTGTTCGATCTATGATATATATATACATACATATGATTATATATGTTTGTTCATGGACCAAGCCAGGAAACTGAGTGGCAACAAGGCATATGTTGCAGCGGATAACAATTCAAAGGGCAGTTTGAGTTCACTGAAACATACCCAGAATGATGTTCTGAGATAGTTTCAGTTCAAATACAATAAGGTTAAGCTAACATAGATATGGTAAGCCTACCTTTTATCTTTTGCAGATCATTTTCCTTCGGAAACAATGCAGTCCGCTTGAAACCACACGTTTTTCATATATATATATATATATATATAGGTGTCTTAGTTTATATAGTTTACTGGACGGTTTTTCACTATCACAGAAGGTATATAGTTCCCCTGAATCTACTAATGCTGTGTTTTCATGAGAGCAAAGCCCCCAGAGACAGCTACCATGGCATCCCCAGAAATATTGCATGACCTCCATGTAAAGGCCATTTCCACATGATTTACCCTTCGGTAATCAAACATGGCAAGGGAACTTCCACTGAATGGAGGTGCAGATGGTGAAAATCATCCAGACATGGGTGATTTTCCAGAAAACCATGTTTGATTGCCAGAGGTTATTTGTCTACCTCTCTATTCCTATCTGGTTTAATTCTATTCCTATCTATGTCTATGACATTCTTTGACAATCTGACTATTCCCATCTATTCCTCATCATGCCCATCAATTCCTCTCCTTTCCAGTTTTGCTCGTTATCAATTCTTGTCTTGAGTATGTCTATTTGTCTATTGGTCTATCTTTCCAAACAAGAAATGTAGACAGACAGATAGATAGATCAGTTAGATTATAGATTACATTAGATTAGATATACGATATACTGTATATGACATAGTGAAAAAAAACAATGAACACTGAGGAAGGTCGGTAGGTTTTGGTGACAACACGCTTTCGCAGGAACTGCTGTCCATGAACCGCGCACTGAAGGAATTGGACATCTCTATGACACCTGGAAAAACCATGAAATCCCCTGGCAGATCATGGAGGTTTTTTCATGGGAAAATCATGGGGAAATCCATCAGACATGGAGATCTGAAAAAAGCTTCGTTGATGATTAAAGTTCGGGGGTTATTTAATACATCATATTCACCAAATCCGTATACACCTGTTAATCAGCCACTGGAAGGGATTCTCCAAAAATGATGTTGACAGTGTTCAGATAAGTTGGTTTACAGCTTTTATATGGAACTACAACTCCGCAAACTGCTGGATTTGGCAAAGATAAACCAACAAACACGACTGCGGGTCCTGTCTTTGCAAGTGAAACACTGAAACCCCCTCGCCCTCAGCTTAGTTTTCTTGACTGCACATGGAGCTTCGATAATTCCGGGAGAGTTTTCCCTTGACCGAGTCACTCGCTTGGAATTTGTTTCAACATGGGATGTACCATGATTTTCCCGAATTTTTTCAGTTCACCCATTCTTATGGTTTGTTTTTCTGGGGGGTTTGCTAACCATCCGGTCGGAGCTTCGGATTTTTGTTGCCAATTGGCTGTGAGCTCTGAAGGACCGGACCGAATTATAAGGATGTTGCTGCCCTGTTTATTTAAGTAGGTTCTGAGTATTCTTTTCTATATATATAATATATATATATATATATGTATCATGTTTTGTTACATCCAGTCTATTACTCTATTACATGTATTTTTGTAGGATTGTGACCTATTTCCGTTCAAGCAAGTATGATTTTGATCTCACAAATCATACAAAACTTGTCAGCACTCTCTCCCACATTCATATGCTCCATGCATTACCAACCTTTACCCCATCGCTAAAGGTAGGTACTACCGGTGAGACCACGACTCAGTGATGTCCTCAGCGGCCACGGTGCACATTGGTCGACTGAGGAATCATATGGACTACCGCGCCGCGCTGATTCTGGAAGATGCTCTGGAAACTTGGAAAACCCCTTGAAGAGTCTTGAAGGTAGGGCATGGTGACGAGAAATCTGGGGCATGGTAACCATGGAAAAAATGGATTTGAATAGGATAAACGCGTTTTTTTGGGGGGATAACGGCTATCTCACCAATGATGATCTGGTTGCTGGTTTCAACATGTTGATTTTTCAAGCAGTTTTTGTTGGAACGACGATCCCCAACGACCGTCTTATCAGATTGGACCGTTCCTGAGTTTCTGGACAACTCATCTGTAACTGATGGATTTTCATGGATTTTCCATTGCCATGTTTGATTACCAGAGCCTAATGGTTTTTTGGATCTTCTTAAAATCCTTATCTACCACTATCTACCACTTAAAATGTAACAGTCAGCATCTGGTCGTCCCTTGTTCACTTTGAGTGGAAGTTGCGTCTTGGACCCCCCAGTCTTGGGCCTTCCTGGAAAGCCCTAGAGGCCTGAATGTTAGCCATAATAGCCATACTCAGATGTTTCGCCACCACTATAGTTTTTGTTGCATCTGCAGGGAATCTCTAGATTCAGCACCAATGTTCCTACAGCGTACAGATCACCGAGGAGCGAACGTGCATACGCAGTTTGCGCTTGATCGATAATCCGCTGGGACAGACTGGGCTGCGCAGTATCTTGCGACTTCTTTGTGGGAAGGAGGCCCTCTTGGGACAGGGGACCAGTTGAAATGGGAAAACGGGGACTTCAGCAGCGGCTATGTGACCGAACCACCGGTTATGTGGGTAATTGATGGTAATTGGGTATATAATGGGAATATCATGGGGATAGATAAGCAATCATATGATATGTGGGTTTGATTGAAAATGGAGGATCTAACCGCCAGGTAAAATGATAATGTTGATTTAAAGTCAATGATCATGGGGATGTTAATGAGGATATTTTATGGGATGTAAAGACTGCCAGTATGGTATCTGGATGTGTCTGAAATGGGGGCATGATACCTCAAAGAATTGATTTTGTTGTTCATAGGAAATGTATGATAACCAAATCAGTAGATTTAGGGCTCTAGGGCTACCCTATCCCAACATAGCTATCCCTATTTTCAAAGCCAGCTATAGCCACAAGTAGCAACAGTCAACCACTCATGGGGGCTAGTATGTAAATATATGTAAATCATCCAAATTTGGGCTATATATAATAAATAATAATAATATAACATATATAGCATACAAAATCATAATTAATAATGTATAACTACTGTATAAAGATTTATATACCGCAAATAGTGTACTACAAAGAACATAAACTACGAATTGGGGGATGGTGACTATTGTTGCAGATCCCGATTTTGTGGACCATTGTGGGACTCTATGGCCACTTCCTTGGTTTCACATCCATGGACGTCCATCGTGTGACGCGAGTGTTTTGTTGGTGAGGATGATCCATTTGGAGCGGATGCTGATGGGATGCTGTACATTTTAATATGGTGTCAGCAGTCATCCCAATCAGTTCAAGATATCCAAGTGTCGCCACACCCCTCAAGCGTGTTGATAAACTATCTGCACGATTGTGCGTACTACAGTAAGTATTATTTTGGACTCGACGTTGGGCTTTGGCACTCTCCCATCCCGCACAAAAATTGAATCTTTCTTCGTGGTTGGCAGGGTCAGTTTACATCCCTCTTTGGGTATCATGTTGGGTGATTTCTATAGGCATATTATCATGTATGTATAAGTACATATATATGTATGGATATGGATGGATGGATGGATGTATGTATTTATGTATGTATGTATGTATGTATGTATGTATGTATGTAATGTATGTATGTATGTATGTATGTATGTATGTAATGTAATATGTATGTAATGTAATGTAATGTATGTAATGTAATGTATGTATGTAATGTAATGGTATGTAATGTATGGTATGTAATGTATGGTATGTAATGTAATGGTATGTAATGTAATGGTATGTAATGTAATGGTATGTAATGTAATGGTATGTATGGTAATGGTATGTATGGTAATGTATGTATGGTATGTATGTATGTATGTATGTATGTATGTATGTATGTATGTATGTATGTATGTATGTATGTATGTATGTATGTATGTATGTATGTATGTATGTATGTATGTATGTATGTATGTGTATGTATGTATGTATGTAATGTATGTAATGTATGTATGTATGTATGTATGTAATGTATGTATGTAATGTTATGTATGTATGTATGTATGTATGTATGTATGTATGTATGTATGTATGTATGTATGTAATGTAATGTATGTAATGTAATGTAATGTAATGTAATGTAATGTAATGTATGTAATGTAATGTAATGTAATGTAATGTAATGTAATGTAATGTATGTATGTATGTATGTATGTGTGTACATATATATATATATATATCTATACATATATACATATATATATATATATTCATATTATGGTTTATTAATGATGATTAATGGCATATGATGATTGGTGATGACCCCAAAAAAATCGTTGACACCATGTGGGGTGAAACCACACCGGGGCGCCGAGAAAAACCACGCTGCGCCAGTCGGGACTCTGTTTCCTTCGAATGAGTGGCTGCTATCGTGGAGCCGTTGGCACCAGAGACTCTTGGAGAAATGGGGGGTCAATCAGGGCACCCATGGCCATTTGTATAGGGAAACCATGGGAAACCATCAAATTATATAGGGAAAAGACGGGAAAATGATGAACTATGATCAAGATTGTGGGTACCCCCTTTTTGAAGTCTAAACCCACAGAAGTCCTGATACGTGGCAGTCAAGTGCTGTAAATTGTATATGCAATGTCGTGATACGTGGATCTTACAATATACATTGTGCAATACACAGCTGGAAAATGTCTAGTACACCAAATAAACCCATAGTATCATATGTGTCAAATACTCTATCCTTTTTTTGGTTGACATAGTGGTCAAACCAAATTCACACAAATCTTAATTGCAGATATTTCAGATGTATTTTGCGACAGAATCCGAGGGCATCCAAACTGTGCCACAGGAATTGAAGATTTTCAACTACGTGAACCCTAGAGCCTGGGCCAAAACAGTGACGTCCATGGTAGACTTCGGGAAAACATCGGATAACTCGGACACAGTCACTGTATGACTTACTACTAACATCTACTAACAGCCTGCCAGATACCAATGGATTGATAGTAATGTCACGAGTTGAGGTGGTCGCTACGACCTGGACCTCAGCAGCCCTTATGACCGAAGTCTGCTGCGGATGCTGTACAAGAAATGCGACATGATAGGTGCGCCCTGGTGGCGGCATTCTGAGTTGGTAGGATGAGGAGAACTTAGTTGACACGGGGAACACGTCTGAATGGGCATGGTCGGCATGGTTGTCTGGTTGGTGGTTTGGAACATGTTTTATTTTTCCATATATTGGGAATGTCATCATCCCAACTGAATTTCAGATTTTTCAGAGTGGTAGGTATACATATAGGTATACCACCCACCAGATGATTATTAACCATCATTAACCATATATAATAACCATTAATATTACCCTCTGGTTATTTAACATAGCCATGGTATAGATGGCCCATTTATGGATGATTTTCCCATTAAAAATGGTGGATCTTTCCATTGCGTCTGGATGACCGATCCGCCGTCCTTTGCGTCAAGTCCCTAGCAGTTACGGCGAACGTTGGCCATGGCCATGGAGGAACGGGTCTTTCAGGCTGGACCTTTCCTTGGTTGGATTTGGCTGGTCCATGCCGCAAATCATTCACAATTTGTTGTAGATCATGGTGGTTGAAGTAGTATGTTAATGTATGTGTACTATACAATATATATATATATATTATCTAGTTATGTATAATTATATAACTATATATATAATTATATATATATTATATAATCATATATATAGTTTTATATATAATTATATATATGACTATACAATATAAACGTGTATATGTATATTATATACATGGTATGGACAGATACAGCTATTGACGTATATTATTATTATAGCTATATGTTTCGATGTATACACATGATTTTACGCCCGCAATGTCAATTTTCCACGGCCCAGTTGCCACTCCCAGGCCTTCAAAAACTTTGACAAAGACGACTCTGGCTCCATCAGCCGAGATGAGCTGGCGGAGGTGGATGGATGATAGAAATACATAGAAATGCTGGGAACCAAGCGAATCACATGGGACATGGGAATCCCATAGTGAACTTGCAGGAAATAACATGATATAACATGATAACCACCATGATATGTTGAGACAAACAACTGGGAAATTGGTGCAAGCGAACATGGATGCCGATATTATTATATTGGGGTGCCAAGACCACTTTCCTCTAGATCAGGAAGGTCCTTGTTTTACCCGGAAGGTGCTGATAGAAAATTAAGAAAACAAGATCCTTAAATCCTTGGTGGTTGCATCTTTCTTGTTTTTACCTTCGTTGCTTAAATTGATCCAAGTTGTGGCCCTGGTTGAAATCATCGAGCAAACAACCCCTCTCAGTGAATTATTTGTCAATGCTTCTATATATTGACACATATTGACTTACTGATGACATTTGATCACATATTGTGTATGTGTGCGTATACGTTTGTGCTTATTATGTGCATGTGTTTGTGGTTCAAGATGTTCAAGGGTATCTCAATGGCTTGATACGGTGTTACATCCCATCATATCCCCATCGTATCCCCATCATGAAACGGTAATAATCATCAACCAACCATCAAATTTCTCAATCATACCAATGATCTTCCCATCTATTGTATCCTGATTAAATGGTCATAATCATCAATCAGCTGTATATACCCCCAAAAAGATCGAACACCTGATTTCTCAGAAATCTTGTTTTCTTTAAAGTAGGATTTCATTAACCTCCAGAACTCTCGTTTTTTTTTCACTATAGGATGTCACTATATGAATATAAACCCATGTTTTTATCAGGTTTTGCCACGTGTTTTCTTCATATCTCGTGTCGCCAGGTGCTGCTGGCCTTACCCAGTGGCAATCCCTGGACCAATGAGGACATCGATCAGCTGCTGGCGCAGGCGGATGCCTCCGGCGACGGAGAGCTGCAGGTGCAGGCGCGACACTGAAAAGGACAATGGTTGGGGGGGTTCAGAGAATACGTATAATGTATTTATAATTATATATATATTATTATATATGGATATTTATATATATATACACTATATATTTAATATGTATATGTGTATATATTTTATGTATGAGCTTGTAAGATCTTGTAACTCCAGATCCTAAACAAAAGGTTAGGATGTAGCTGGAAAACCTGGCCTTTGAGTCCAACCGCTACAAACATCGCATTCTGCCACCGAAAACCCGGGTTTCCTGAAAACCTACACCCGTAAATATCCAACAAAAGCGCAGACATGTCCCATAAAAGTCTGTATGTATTAAGTAATAACACTTGTCAGAAAGATTCAGAAAGAACCATTTGTCAAACCCAATCAAAATCAGGCTTTGGTGCCCAATAGCAGGAGTCATAGTGAAACCCAGCATTTTGTGTGAGGATATGGTTCTACAAGGTAATTATTTTAATTATACTTGTACATGATTTGATATGAGACGGCCTGATATGAAAAATAGATAGATAGAAAGAAAGAAAGATAGATAGATAGAAAGATATACCACATCATATATGTTTACATATATTTTAACGGATTCTAGTATATCAGTCAGTATATCCCAGATTATCCGAGGTTGTAAGGGGAAAGACACATGTATTGCCAGACATATGGGGTCCACGTTCCATGATTAATGTTGGATACTCACAAGAGTAGGGCCCCCCCCCTCAACAATTTTAGGCTACTCAATAATTCGCCATTTTAAACGCGCTCCCCTCAACAGTTTTTAGGATAGTCAACTTAAGTAAGGATTTCAATTGACATCAACCTACTTTCAATTGGTTTTCCTTTTAAACCAAAAAAAAAACATGGTCCCAAAAGTTTTTGTGCGCAATAGGGTACCATCGAAACAATTACATTATTGAGGATCTGGGTCACTCATGGGGTACCCCCTTGAAAAATTGTTTGGGTGCTGTTTTTTTTTTAAATAAGGGTTGAATAAGGCATCTAATTATTTGGGAAACCTTGCATTTTCAAGGCTTTAACATGGATATGGTTTTCTAAAGTAAAATTTACCAGCTTTACCCAAAGAAAGGTGTATACAGCAGGTGGATAAAGCTCTTCCTGAAACAAAATGGTTCTGAGAAAAAACTTCTCACAATTGTTTTTTTTCCAAATGCCAGAAGGTACTTCCCATAATTTTGGGAAATTGTCTCACTTCATAGAGTCCCATGACACTAATCGGGATCCAACATGATTCCGAACCCAAGATGACAGATGGGTGTTTTGGATCAGCTTGCTGCATTAACATCCAGCCAGAAAAGAGGATGTCCTTTTTTGGGACAAAAATAATCGGGCTCGTTTGCATACTATCTACCCTCCGGTAATTTCACATAGCTATTGAAAATGGCCCATTTATAGTTGATTTACCTATTAAAGATGGTGATTTTCCATAGTTATGTTAGTTTACCAGAGGGTATCTATATCTACAATCAACTGGCTATTGCTTGTTCAATGGAGATCACCATGAGGAACATCCATAATCCAAACCGTCCAAAAGCCATGGCGATTTGTCGAAATTTGTTGCAGGAGTTCCTGAAGTGGATTTTCGCGGAGAACAAGGACATCTCCAAAGGACTGCAGGGGAAGTACATGTTGAGCGTTTCAGGCAGGGCATGATCTTTGCCGATGACTGGAGAGGGGGTTTCCAATGCTGTTTTTTTTTTTTAATATGATGCTGCTAATATTGATATATCATAAGCGTTGGTGGTATCCCTTTTTCTGATTAGTCATTTCGTTGTACCCACATACATATTATATATCTTAATTAGTCAGTGATCACGTGCCTGAAATTAGCGTGATGTTATTCCCTGTTGAACACGTTTATGTTTTTGATTGGATTGTGATTAGCATAATGCTTGCGTGTTCGTGTATTTGTGGTATTTCCCCGTGTTTGTTTGTTGGAAACTGTAGGTACTAAGGCTGTAAAGGCAAGCACAAAGAGTAAAACAAGAACTATGTAAACTACTCGATGTATTTGTTGGCAGTACCCTCTTGTAAACTAACATAGCTATGGAAAATCACCATTTATAATAGGTAAATCAACTATAAATGATCATTTTCAATAGCTATGTTAAATTACCAGAGGGTATTTGCAATATGTATGCTGACATTGGCCACGCTTTCGATTTCATCCCAAGCCACTTTCTCCAGACCTGTGACAGGTTGCTCCCGGACGCAGTTCAATGGGGATTACATCCAAGAAGAAGGACGGGGAGACATGGGCCATGGGTTCTCAATGGTTACCAATGGTTTCATGAGGTACTTAATACCCGTTCCGGTCTTAAGTTCCATCCTGTCAGGGGTGATTGTTGAGATTTGAGACGGCAGGAGAGTTCTACTACAGGCGGCCAGTCTTCCATTGCTTGCAGAACAAGATGTATCTCTTCTACCACGGGAAGAGGTGCCGAGCTGGCCTGATACTTCTGGATGGATCATATAGGGAGATAAGATGGAAGTCATGGCTTGATGTTTAGTTTCGGACTGACCCCAAACATCCCTGGGCGTTGATTGTGCAGCTCGCTGGCAACATCTCCTAATGTCGGAACGATGCCTACCCGACATCCGTTGGAAAAGGATTGGACGCATCCCGTCAGACTCCTGCGCTTAGCCTGTTTTTATTTTCAGAAGTCGTGAATCAGCTTCATAAGTTCATCAGTAGATTGGACGGTAATCGCATATAGTCTATATATATATATCTATAGGATCCATGTATGCTATATATGGTAACATTTACCATCAATATACCCCCTTCATGTTAGTATCCATGGATCCTATGGGATATAATATACCATCTACACATGTCCCATCATTTCCCTATGAGTTTCTTCTCACGTCTCAGGGGCCAATGGCAAATCTATCGTCGCACGGGCACCAAGACCAGCTGTCGGCTGAAGACGCCGCGGACGGCGCACATGCCCGGAGAAGGGGTGACCTGGGGCGTTTGGAAGAAGAGCAAGAACGGCAGCTGGTCTGATTGATTTTGATAAGCATTGGGAAATCTGAATCTATGGACATCTGAAATCTGAAAAACAATGGTTCGAATGGTTGTCAAAGACAAGAATATAACAATAGGGCTTTCCTGAATGTTCCGTTCAACAGATTCTAGGATTATTTGAACAAAAGATAGTCTGTTGATGTAAAACACAACACAGGGATTTCTATCAGATGTGAAATACATGGAGGTTCTCCTAAAATCGGGGACGCGCACATCATCTGCTAGGGAAACTAATGGTTCTGGAGGCCCTATTTGATGACCGCATGAGGTTTACAATACAACCAACTTAAACATTTTTGTGGGGTGAGTGTTTATGGTTGATGGAAAGTTTTGGCTGGATACTGTAGAACCGTGAGGTTGGCCGCCAAACTAGTCAAAAGTTTTTTTGGGTTCAACACAGGTTATTTGGGGATACTTATGATATCAACTTATATTTGTCGACTATAGTTAGTAGTCTTGCCAATTATGATAATTATGTATGTCTCTTTTTATGTGTCTTTACCAATTTGCCATAGGATTCAGCCACCATCCAGCCAGTATAACTGATTGGTAGTTTCGAATATTTGTTGTTTACCATCCCAGAAAAAGAAGGAACACCTACGGGAGAGCCTTCTTTGTTGATTGTAAATACAACAATTTGCTGTATGTTTTTGTACTGTATATATTGTTCCCATAACCCAATCTACTGACTCCTGGCAATCAACAAAACATTAAAGTGACTACACTGAAATCCTACAGGTCCTGCAGGTGTGTCAGCCATGAGGGCTGCATCAGCTTCCCTCTACCCTTCGCATCCCTTTGTTCTTTCCTGTTTTCAAGATTGTGTTTATTTGTAAAGTACTTTTTGTGTTGATTATCTGAGTTGTCATTTGTCCGCCATATTTCATATGTTTCATAGACGTGAATCTCTGAAGGAGGATCCAAAAACACCACGCCATACACCATCCCGAATTATCAGTCATTTAATGAGGGTGGTTAAAAAACATAGCCATCCGTGATGAAACATTGGTGCATCCCCACGGCCCCACGGCCAAGGTAAAAAGACCTTTGTGGAGGACGACGAATCAGTGGGCGTTTGTGAAGTCAGTGAATCATCCCCGTGCAAAATGTGGTGAGAACTGCAATAAGTGTGTGGTTCTTCCAATCATGGTATACATCACGCTTCTAAATCACTAGCTGGGTATAAGGGTTTCAGAGAAATGGTTTCACAGTTGTGTTCGGATCCAGAAAACCTATATCAAAATGACTGGGATTTGCGGCTAGGTAAGTGTTCAAGATTCAACGTTGTTGGGATGACGGTTGCGTTTAAACTTTAGATGCCTTTAGCACATGACTAGTAAGAACAGTGCTGGTTCATAGCTCTCCCAGATGCGAGGAGCCCAAAATGACCTGCACAGCGAAGTCGGAGATGAGTTTGGATGAGCACTTGGTGAATGCTGAGGATTGTGTGAAATTTGATGAGCTCTACTTCAAGCCACTCGGAAAAAAAACTGGGAAGACACAACACTTTCTGGTCAGCATGATTGAACACCTTCATTTTCCAGGATGCCCCAGTTATATCCAATTATTGTGAGTGATGTTCTTCTTCCGGGTTACTAGTAGCTACCTAGAGAAGCCAGCCTGAGCATCGGTTGGTGTTTTGAATCATCAGCAGAGGGACTTTCACCACATCAATCATTTGCCGCCCATATGAGCTTGTTTAATCATTTAATCGTTATCATTTTTTGGACCTGAGCTTCCACTTGGACTATACCCGACTACTGCCCCTTTTTGCTGCAGTCAAGCAACATCATCAACCGCCAGGAAGATTGACAAAGTGCTTGGCGATCGTGCAGTGTACCAACACTCCAAGGTGGCCCTGTTGCTTGTTGCGCAATGCTAACGGCCTCTCCCAGTGTTTGGGAGATGTTGGGATTTAAAGTGAAGAATGGCTTTTCGGAAAAATGGAGGATACCCCCCAAATTCAATAATATAATGGTGTTTTCTTTCAAATTGCAATATTTGAGGAAATACAACTGGTAAAAACCCATCTTCAAAGACACATCGGACATGTCAATCTTCATACCCCTGGCAGGGCGAAGGCAAGTGGGGCGAGACCTACCTCTTTTATGAGGCACCACAGAGCAGGTGGAAACGTGGAAATGACGCGAAGTTGGGCCATCCGTCCCTGAACGTCTCCAGGACCAGCGGAAAGAATATCGGAAAGATGTCATGGTGCGGTAAGTGGGTAAGATTCATGGAATGTTTGGGAATTCATGAGATTTCCTGGGAAAGTTCCACTTGACTACAAACCATGAGTGGAATTGTTTGGGATTTTGGGTTTTAATACAGCATAATACAGCTGTGTCAGTGTCTCCAACAAGTTCCCCTTGCACAGCGGTTGATCAGTTGATTTCTGACTCGCCAAACAGCACGGTAGTCAGCGCAGCAACACGGCGATATCATCCGGCTACGGCCGACCACAGCTGTCTTCTACGAAGCAGTTCCCTCTGCTTGTTGATTTATCAGCCCTTCCGTATGCCGGTATGCCAAAGTTATCGCCACCAGGGACCTAACAGCCCTATAGTTACCCTCTGGTTATTTAACATAGCCATGGAAAATCCCTTATAAATGGAGGCTCCTAGCTGGGAAAATAATCTATTTCTATTGGCCATCAACAAACCATGGCTATGTTAGTCATAACCAGAGGGTACAGGCCAGTAGAAACCCCTCCCCTCCCAAGATCTCCAGCCATGTGTTGGTGCAGCCATGGTGCCATGGGGCTTCACCGCAGGATTACTGAAGTGGCTTCACCGCAACTGGCCCTCTGGATGGATGAGACCAATGGTGGTAAGATCGATGTGGTTGCTGTGGACACCGACGGGGCCTCTTGGTGTTTCAATCCTGGCGTATGCATACAGTCTACTTATAAATACTTATAATATATATATATATATACATATTGTGTATTAATGTTTATATTATATATTATATATACATATTATGTGTTTTTCTTGTCTATGTTTGTATGTATATAATATGTATGTATTATATATATATATATGAATACACATATGGTTCTGGTACATGATCTGATATGTATGCACACCAGTCCTTTCTTGTATGTGTCTCTGCTGTGTATCTACACTCACTGTATCAGGAAGGACATTTCATGTTGAAATTTGGCTGGTCAGATGTGATACCAAATGTTTCGATCTGTTTCAGCAGACTGGTGTCTCTTGAGGTTCCCAATACCATGGGCAGCGGCTTGCGCTTTGACCCAAGCGTCCCCGACGGCTGGAAAGACAAAGACTTCCCGCACGACAACAGCTCCATCGGGACACGGGCTGGGTGGCTGTTGCTGATTTCACCATGGGAAAGTTTGTTTATCCGCTCAATTTGACTCACATCTTTATGATTGGTATTTTGTTCAATATGTTTTAATATGTTTAATTCACAGATGTATTCTGTATTCTGGGCTGATATGATGTGATATGTTGTTCATTAGCTCAGATTGTTGAGTAAACATAGTCATTTGTCTTCAATACTTGTACCCAGATCCAGATCCAACGTTGGCTTAGGTGTGCAAAGGCGATCAGCTATGGAAGTATTTCCACAAAGAATTGACAATAGGCTGTTTGTCATTTTCTAATTGGTAATTCCATGATTAACTGTTTATAGTACATTGTTGGATGTGTCTTTGGGAGTGTTTGTGTGTCCCAAACCCAGAGGTGTGACTTTTCCCCTGCATTCCTGTGTGAGAATAAATTCAACTACCACCCATTTGTCATATGTATTTAAGACAAAACTAATTCCATGTGTTCCCTCCCTAGATTTACAATATCATATCATATGTCATATACAGTATCATGTATCATATAATCATATGCCATACCATATATCATTTATCACATATCATATTTATACATATATCAGATATTATACAATGTACCATTTAGCATACATCATGTATCATGTATCATATTTCATGCATCATATTTCATACATCATGTATCACATGCCATGCATCATATATCATAGTTTTAAATCATTTATCATTGATTATCTATCACGCATATTTATATATACTAATATCATATACTGCACATCATAGTCATAGATTATGGATCATACATCATGAACCATATGTCAAACATAATGTGTCATAAACCATGTGTAATATAAAAGTTGTCATAGAGCAGATATCACAAATTACACATCATAAATCATAAATCATAGTCATAACCACATATTTAAAAAAATAGTGTCATTTAAATCATATGTCATATATCCGAAATCTAACCAGGTATTCTTTTCTATCTATTATCATTTGTTATGATCTAGTTTCATCTATTATTGTCTATTCTCACCTATCTATCTATCTATCCATCTATCTATCTATCTATTTATCTATCTATCTATCTATCTATCTAATATCTATCTATCTATTTGTCTATCAATCCATCAATCCATCAATCAATCAATCAAGCAATAAATCAATCAATCAATCAATCAATCAACGTATCTATATGTTTTTTTCCTGTTTATCTTTGTATTGTTCTTTCGATCTACCTATTTGTCTGTTTGTCTGTCTGTCTATCTATCTATGTATCTATTTATCCATCTACTTATCTATCCATCTATTGATTGATTTATGAATGTTTATTTCTAACCACCTATCTATTCTATTCTGTTCTATTCGTTTTTAATATATTTGTTTCTATTTTATTCGTTTCTATTCTATTCGTTTCTATTGTATTCGATCCTATCCTGTCCTATCCTATCCTATCCTATCGAATCTATCTATCGATTTATCTTTATTTTGTTTTTGCTATTGTGCTATTTGTCTTCTTTTTTCTCATCTCCATATATGTATATGTTTCTATCGTTCTTTCTTTTTTATCTAT